AGATTTTTTTTTTTTTTGCTTTCTTGCTTGTTTTGCTTTGTTAACTTAAATCAAATTAGTGGTTTTATACACCTTGAACTTACAGGTCATATAAAACATTATAAGAAGAAATAAAGCAGTCGGTAAGAAATTAAATGCCTATCTTAAAATTTTAAGAGTGTAACATCTGAAGCAATTACAAACATCAAGATTGTTTGGGGGACCACTGTGGGCCAATCAAAGGGATTATTCTGCATCACTGATCTTAGACTACTTTTCCCAAAGCAAGTTGCTCTTCTAAGTTATCATTGGTACAAGAAGTGATGACTTTGAGGTACCAATTAATATAAATTGGGAGCGGGAGAGATATTAATTAAATGTGACACTCTGATTATTTAAACCTTCTATTTAAGTTGATCATTCAGAGCACGGTGATGGCTTGTTCTTCAAAAATGATGGATGGTATCAAGCTTTAGTGACTGCCTCTATATCTGTGGTTTCCCATACTTCAGAAGAGAGGGATAAATGATGTGAGAAGAACAGGAGAACAAGTCTAATAGACAGACTGAGTAATCTCAGACCCCCAAGGTCAAAGCAAAGCAATCCATTTCTTAGCTTTCATCAACACAAGACATGATTTATCAATCGATGAACAGGATTTCAAACATTATACATCTAAATGATCTGTTCTTTGTACTGTGTAACTTTTTGAACAATGATAGATTGTGTGATATATTCCCTACAAAAGTAATATCATGAGGCAAAACTCATTATATTCCCCAAAACACATTTAAAAAACAAAAAGCGAATATGTCATCTGTCATTATTATTCCACATACCATATGGGGAGATCATATTTCCAAACTAGATTCCTTGGGGTTCTATGCCCTTCATAGTCCAAACATTACACATTAATGTCCTTGAAAATAGTATTCTTATTCTAATACATTTATTATGTGGAGTTGGTCAACGAGTTACAGATAATTACAAAAGATAGTATAAAACACCTCCTGATATTTCTGGTTTTGTTATAAAATTTAATGGAGTTTGAGAGATGGCTCAGTTGGTCAAGTACCTGCCACTCAAGCCCGAGGATCTGAGTCAGATCCCAGCATCTGTGTAGAATTCAGGTGTGGTGCTGCTGATGACAAGTCACTGAGACAAATGTGCCCCCGAAGCTCACCAGCTAGTCAGGCTAGCCAACCTGAGCCCCAGGTTCAGTGAGAGACTCTGTCTCAGAAAAACGAGGAGACGAGGGATTAGGGAAGACGTTCAGTAGGGAAGGACCTCTGGTGTCCATGGGCACGCATACACGCATCTGCACATGCCTCCGCACTGATCTTTATAGAGAGAGAAGTATTGTTAACAAGAAAAAGTGCTATGAGAACATTTCTGAACCGTAACATAATGTAAACGCAAGGATAAATACTAGGGTCGAGCTGTTCTCTCCCTCGTTACCGCACCTAAGGACTGTTCTATGAGGCATGCCTAGGAGAGTTCAGAAATGAGCTCACAGGGTCATGTCAGGTATCTGGGAGATGTCTCAAAATGAGATTATGTGAGAAGACTAGTCAGTGACATCATGCAACTTCACTCTTCATTGTACCTCCCTAGAACCGCATGGCTTGTTTTCACTGACTTAGCTTAGTTACTGCCTTTCCCCCACTAGTTTGTGGAAGATCTGATTGCTCACACGGAGGAGATAGTAAAAGGGCTATACCCTTGGCTGATGATTCATTGCACCAGCTGCCAGCAAGTTGCATGTCTCGGCACACCTGGACGCATGCAGCAGTGACTGATTAGGAAACACATTTATCTTGGCACATCGCAAAGGAGACGCAACTGTAATTACTCTCCCTTGTAATGAAAGGCATTCTGGAACCTGTGTCCACCTCCCAAATAATAGAAAGTACTCTTTTGGACCAGATCCATATAATTGTGCCATCTGCTCTTGATACTTGGATCTAAATATTTCCCAAATCATCCCGGTATTCTAAAAATAAAATGCAGTTTGAAAAGACTTATTCTAACTGTTAAAATGGTCACACGAAGTCATTTTAAAACTGAACACTAATGAAAATGATCAAAACTCTTGAGTTTCTTTGGCTGATTAATACAGAACATTTCATTAACCTTCACTGTGTAGTTGGAAATTTTTGTGGATTTATTGTTTTTTTTTTTTTAATTTAAAGAAAATGACTATTCTGGCTAAGTTTTTCAGAGTCCTCTGATTGAGAACTGACTTAACTAGGTATCCTGTGCAAAAGAAGAAAAAGGAATCAAAGCTTTTGTTCTTCAACTTGTCTCATTATTATGACCCCAAAATTCTGGAGACTCTTAACCTGGGGTGTAAGATGTGTTGCTTTCATTGGTTGAATAAAGAGACTGCCTTGGCCTTTTGATAGGGCAGAAACTTAGGTAGGCAGGAAAGATAGAACTGGATGCTGGGAAGAAGAGAGAGCCGCCTGCCATGAAGCTGCCAAGTCAGACATGCTGAATCTTTCCCGGTAAGCCACGACCTCGTGGTGACATACAGATTATTAGAAATGGGTTGAATCAAGATGTGAGAGTTAGCCAAGAAGAGGCTAGATATAATGGGCCAGGCAGTGATTTAATTAATACAATTTCTATGTAATTATTTCAGGGGCTAAGCTACCTGGGCTGTGGGACACGGCACCCTCCTCCTTCATACTACAAGCCTGTACTGAGAAATCCCGTATATTAAGACCTTAAAGTGAGATGCTATATTAGGAGACTAGAGAGATTTTATAGCAGTTAAAAGTCGGTATCACTATCTGAAACTGAGAGATGAAATACAGTTGAGGAAGAGGAGTGGCTCTTCACCCAAGAGCCACCTCAGGGCCATGCGTCAGAAACACATAACAGCAGTATGAAGTTCTTAAAGACAGATAATGATACATACACATAGAATAGCAACAAGTATCTAGCAAACACATCTGTCTAAATTGTCAAATAACGACACGTAGAACATGAACTGTGTCCATAACACTGATACTGGGATCTAGAACATGTCTACAAACCATAACTTGCTTGCTATTTTTTCATAATAAATATTCTCTTACATTAGATTTAGCAATCAGTCTCTTTAAAAATGTTTTAGCTTTAAATGCCGTACTAAGTCCGAGTTCTTTGTTTCATATAATCAGAATTCAATAAATACTGCTCATAAACTCTAATACAAGCTGTCCTTTCTCTGGGTTGCAACATACACACTAACAAGCCCACAAAACTAAAAGGACAGGCCCACCTATTAATCTCTATAATCTGTTTGTTTATAGTCACAAGATAGCTTGCTTATCATCTCCAAGAAATGTAAGAACTTCCTCCTGGTAAATATTTACTCTACTTTTAATTTCAGTGATAAATGAAAGTAGTCTTATAAATTGACCATATTTCTTAATGAACTGGTCTTCTTCATGCTGCAATTACATATTGGTTTACACAGCAGTTGAATCGCATACTATGAGGCATCATATTAACTTCCATTGTGGGCCTGTGTGTTCTAAACTCTGATATCTCTGATACTTTGCCAAATGCAACCAGCTAACCATCTCCCAAGACACCCAGGGTCATAACTTGATTTCATCTTACTTTGAATGGTCAACCCGTAGGCAAACTCTCTGATTCCAACCTGTTCCACAATGGTATACTTTCTTACCACCATACTTCTCCTTTTTCCAACAGGCCAAGAGTGTGCTCCCTCGCTCGCTCTCTCGTTCTCTCGCTCGCTCGCGCTCTCTCTCCCCCTCTCTCCCACCTTCCTTCCTTCTCTCTGTAACTGTCTGTCCCTCTCTCCTCTTTCTCTCTTCTCTCCTCCCACCCCAAACTCTGTTTACCTAGGGACACTTACTTGAGACTCTTGATGAGCAACATGTCCTAGAATGAAGCTAAGAACATCTCATTTTCTCTTTGCTAGCTAACACTCTGCTGTGTTGTCAGCCACACCGTCACACTTTTGTTTCCACACTTCCATTCATGAAGAACACAGTAAAATGCTTGACGCTAAGCCTCATTCATCCTGAAGGAGGCACTTAGTACAATGATTAGTAGATAGCCTATGGGGGCTGGAGAGATGGCTCAGAGGTTAAGAGCATTGCCTGCTCTTCCAAAGGTCCTGAGTTCAATTCCCAGCAACCACATGGTGGCTCACAACCATCTGTAATGGGGTCTGGTGCCCTCTGCTGGCCTGCAGGCATACACACAGACAGAATATTGTATACATAATAAATAAATAAATAAATAAATAAATAAATAAATAAATATTTAAAAAAAAAGAAGTAGATAGCCTATGCTGAATAAAAGCAAGATGAGTTAAATATCATTATATTTTATATTTTTTAAATTTTCCTTCTTTAATTCAGAGATATATATTTTTTCTATACAACGCCCAATGTTTATTCACCAATCATGAAAATAATTTTGCAGCCTATTTTGACATATTGTTTGATTAACATCAAATCATCTATCATTTTTTAAGGAAGAAAAGGTAAAAAGTGGATAAATGAAATCACTGAGCTCCCAGTTTTACAAGTTCCTAGACTATCTTTCAGTTACTTCACAAAGTTTCCATTCATCGTGTTATTCTCTCTAATTACATGGATATTTTTAAGGAACATGTAGAAGTAATCAACTCTTTTAATTCAAATTATACTTATAAAGAGCTCACATTAAATTATGTGTATATATGTTTACATAAAATAGGTTTTTTTTAAAAAAATGCCTTTCTTCTTTGCTACATTCAGATTATTAGGCAATTTAGCATTGAATATTGTATATGATCATATATAATGTATTTATTATATTAATATTGATATATAATATGTATTTGTGGGAGGATAATTTATTGTGAAAATTTAAGTCAGTTTATCTAAAAGAACAATGACAGCAACGACGGTGAAATTAACCAATCCACACTGGGTTTCCTCCTCAAGCCTATGACTCAATTAGAAAACTCAAATTTTATTTCTAACAAAAGTCTTATAGTAAATGAAGTAACTTACTTTTCAGGATTTTCGACCTCTTCAGTAATAAAGTTGAGGTAAAACCTGCATTATAAGTAAAGAAATAACTATTAGTACATTTTACCACCATAATCCAAAGATTCACATGTTAAACTATTTAAAATCAAACCAAGAATCATGAAAATTACATAGAAATGTATGCAGAAAGAGGCAACTATAAAACCAGTCAGTACACCTATAGAACACTTTCTACTAAATCATGGAGGAGGCATTAAAACGTGTAAGACACAATGGTGACGACAGGGGAAAGGCTGTATGTAATCTGTATGACACGCTTCACAGGACAGCTCAGAACAGCCTGACACAATGTCAGGAAAGGGCACCAGAGCTAGAAGAGCAAGGCCAGCTGTGAACTAAGGTTGAGGAGGAAGCATTTCCGAAGGAAGTTCCTCCCAAGCTGAACCTTCAAGAATGCGTATCATTTACTCTACTGAAGTGTTATGAGGCCATTCCAGGCCAAGGTTGACCCGAAGCATGGAGTATACCATAATGATTATGCAAAGGGGAAGGAGGAATGCTATAGTATTCAGTCATACAAGTAGGTAAGAAAGCCTGGGGGGACAAATTAAGGATTAGGTGGCCTGTGCTTCCTGTAAATCTAAATTTTGAGTTAGAAACAAGAGGGTCCAAATTATATGAGAGTAGACTTGTAGGAAACTGCTATTGACTTCCTACACAGAGAACAGCATACAAGTTAGGGACCAAAATTTCTAGAAATGATAGTGTATTATATGCCTCAAATTTTCTAGAAGAGAATATTCCAAATATTCTACCACAGAAAATTAAAAACTATATTTTGTAATTGAAATGTTAATTACTTGATTAATTATTTCATGTTCCATTCCTAAACCATAACCTAATTTCTTTGTACCTCAGAACTGCATACTATTTGCCAATTTATAATTCTAAATTAAAATAAGAAGATTAAAACTTCCATTCATACTTCTTCCTTTAGAGCCACTGCTAGTGTTTGCCCTATATAACTAGATTCATAAGCCTAAAGAGGGAGGTCAGTCTCTGGTCTGTTCAGATAGTTAATGTAGATACATTGTTACTTACTACACTGTCCATCAAGGAAAGAAAAGCAGAGAATTTTGAACACTTCTCATGTCCATGGTACTTTTCTTGGAAGTACATGTGAAAAGAAACATTTTAGGCACAAAATATTTTGCTTTCATTGTCAATGGGATCTCAAACTCTTACCCTAATGCCGGGCCTGAGAAATTCTGACTGTTTTCCTCTCTGTGAGTTTCTACCAGCTTACACAGATGTAGCTAATGCTGTCCATCCTTGATTTCATTTTCCAACTAAAAGGGACTGCTGGAGGCCCTTTAAGCCCTACTAAGTTCTTCCTAAGCCTCCTCAAAACAACACTGAAGAAAATTAAGAATCCTCATGAGAACATTTGAACGTAACAACAGAAACTTGCTATATCTGCTTTCCGTAAGCTCAGAGAACTTTTACAGAATAAAAGTCATGCATTCTACCGTCATTAGATGATGTGGGATTCCCCTCTGTATGCTGTGAATACCATCGGTTAATAAAGGAACTCTCTTGGGCCTCTGCAGAGAATAAAGGTAGGTGGGGGAAACTAAAGTGGATGCTGGGAGAAAGGAGGAGGAGTTAGGGAGATGTCATGTAGCCCTGCAGGAAATAGATGCCTGAACTTTACCCATTAAGTGGCAGCCATGTGGTGATACACAGAGTAATAGAAATGGGTTAAATTAATATGTAAGTGTTAGCCAATAAGAAGCTAGAGCTAATGGGCCAAGCAGTGATTTAAATAATATAGTTTCTGTGTGGTTATTTTAGGTCTGAGCTGCCGAGCAGCCGGAACCAACAAGCAGCCTCTCCCACAACAACACTTAGATGCTAAAATAGCCTCTTACATGACTCACGGGATTACAGGTCTGAAAGTCAAATTCTCTTCTCTCTAAAAACACCCAGAATATTAGCCCATCGCCTGCCACATGCTTAAAGCACCTCACAGAGTACAAGAAAGATGAGGAAGTGGGTTTTGTCCCATACTTGCAACAATCCTATCTGAATTCACTAGTCGGTTGAGGTTCAAGAACAGGATGGCTACAGACTTAATGACAGCTTCAACAAATCAGTATTAGAAATACATTGACTGAAGAGAAGGTAGCAATAAGGGTGATATAAAAGGGCACACATACACACATATAAAACTAATGATACTTTTTAACAACTAGAAAGTTAAATTTCTAGGAACAGCAGAGTGCATGTGTAGCAGAATGCATGCAACATTGTTAGTATAGGGAAAGTGACAGCCAGTGAGATCCTTACTATGTGCACACTCCATCTTTCCCCATGTAATGCAAGACTGGCTGGAAGAATTATAAGTGTGGATGAGCTACTATTCCTGCATTGAGTGTAGCAAAGATAGTTCTGTGGAATGTGCTGTTTGAGACAGATTTGACAAGTGCATTATAAGCCTGAGGCAACAGGAGGTAGGGGAAACAAATGCAAATCAATAAGCAAATATATAAATAACACCCCAAACTGAACAAATCACATGAATTAAGGAATAGAGCCGGGTTTTGCATGTCTGAGATAGCCAGTTGTTTATTAATAGTTGATCAACTGTTTTTTTCCCCCGCAATAATCTTAAGAAAAGAAGGGAACTATTTGTGAAAAAGAATGTGACTTCAAATATTTTTCCATGACTCTAGGGAACAGAGAAAAGGAAAGTGGTTAAGTGTAGCATGTAGGGAAGAGGAGGACAGCAATCACTTGAGTGCAGGGGTCCACGCACTGGGGGACGTATACCTTGATATCTGTCTGCTCACAGTATGGGCCACGGTAGTCCATTTCCCCTGGTTTATATCTCAAGGCCCTGGAGAATACTTACAAAGTCTATTGTCCCGGGTTTGCTAGGACTGGGCACAAACTACACTGTTGACCCTGCACTGCAGCACCCAGCCTTGTACATGAGTCTTTAAGGAAGCAGATTCTCGAGGTGAGATCTGATACAAAGGTATACAATAACCGTGCCCTGTGCTTCGGGGAGACTAAATCCATTGAGGATCTGATTAAAGAAGGCAACAAAAGACACTGAAAACCAATTTTCTATCACACAGTGAAAAGAGAGGAGAAAAATCTCACCACGCTGGGCTTAGCTTTGGACCCAGATACAGGAATGAAATTGGTTGACTTCCCCAAGGCCACAGGCGGACTGGCAGATGTATTTCTCTGAATACGGACATTGGCAATAATGGGAAAGTTGTTCTGACCCGACTCCGTGACCTGACTGAGTTAATGATTTCTTTTCCCCTAATCATGTTTCAGTGACGGGATTTTTTATCATTCTGGATAGGTTTTGTGCTCCTTAGATCCAAAACTTCACTCCGCTCATGGTCCCCAAGGGTTGGTGGTATCTTTTTCCTATTCAGCCTAACAGCTGGAGGTGACTGCTCTTAGAGCAAGGTATCCAGGACAACAGAGAGCTAGCATGCTGCCCATCCAAATAGGTAGCAGCCTGACTTGCAACTCCTGACTATAACTACTTTGCTTCTGTCTCACTACAAAGCCTCCACATTTGGTTTCTCTCTCTCTCTCTCTCTCTCTCTCTCTCTCTCTCTCTCTCTCTCCTTAGTCAAATACTGTTCTACAGCAATGCAGGGAGTGGTAGCCATTTGCAGTCCTAATTGATAAGTGTGCAAACCAGTTTTGCAATCATATGTCAAAAGATGGGAGAAATTCACTGGTCAGCGGTGGTGCACACCTTTAATCCCAGCACTAGGGAGGCAGAGGCAAGCAGATCTCTGTGAGTTTGAGGCCAGCCTGGTCTACAGAGTGAGTCCTAGAACAGCCAAGCCTAGCAACACTGAGAAACCCTGTATAGAAAAACCAAAATAAATAAATAATATGTAGAAATTCTAATAGCAAAGATTGTTCTTACAATGCTCCTGTCTTTGAGACCCATTTCAGACCCCACTTTGATCCATTTACATGGAAATAACATCTGTACCTCTGGAGTGCCAAACCCACAGACTCTTTTCCACTTCTGTTTTCTGAGACTGGGGGCCATAGATTAATAACCAGATCATTCCCCCTCTTCACAAAGCACCATTAAACCATTACAACAACCTATAAAGCTAAATCGTTCCCTGTCATCCTCTGGCTAAGCCACTTGGATCACATAACCTCTCATTTACAATTGTAGACTTACTTTCCAATACTGTGACTGAACCCTCAAGAACACACGCACACACACAATTGATGGTTCTTGGCTCTTCAAGCTTGGGTGAAGGCACAAGAATTATTCAGGGGGGACAAAGTATAAATCAAATTTCCTGTAAACCCCCATCATAGGTGAAAACAGTGGCACTTTGGACTTGGCATCAGTAAAATACAATATTAGTAAGATAAGTCAAGATGAAAAGACTCTTTTTTTTCCAGAGAAAAATCAACCGCCCCTCAAAAACCTCAGAAGTGGAGAAAATTGGCGGTACATGAAGCAGGTGACCTGAATATTCAGTGCCGGGTGGTGGTGGAGTGAGGGTAAAAATGTTTTAATATTCCGTGGGAACAGATGCATGGTGCTCACAGGAAAAAGAAACTCCATTCAACAGAATTAATCAAACCTGCCTTGTGAAGATCACCACATCCCACATTCTTGACAGAGTACAACAGGCTCCCAGCACCCAGCTGGAGCTGAAAGCTCTTGTTCCCTCTCCTACTTTGCTCTGGGGCTCCCAGGGACCCTCGCTGTGGCTTGGCTGCTGCCCCAGGGCATGGAGCCCTGAACCAGGCTCAAAAGACATAGAAGAGTTGATTTTGCTTCTAACACTGTGATCACACTCGGTTCTTTTCTCTGCTTAGCACCACATTGTGCTTTGAACAAAAGTGAAAAGACTTCAAAACCACTGGGATTCGACACTAAAGCGTGCACACAATGGCTGCAAAAAATCTTCTTCGGGTATACAAATAGTTTACACTGATCTTCTTATGCTATAACCTAACAACCTTCAAACACATTTCACTTCAAAGCTATGCTAAACCTATGTAGCTATACTCTGCTGATTGGCTTCTAATGCCATATTTTCACAATTTCTGAGATTACTAGAGTACATATGCTATTTATTTTGGAATGCATTTGTATATTCCCTAAAAGGTAAGATACAAAAACAAAAATAATAATAAAAAAGGAGGCAGAAAGAAGAGAAAATTGTATTCATGTTAGATACATATTTACATAATTTTTGAGATAGCAAAGTTTCCTTTTGGTATGCTTAGGTTCAGAGAGTGTTATCACATCTTTTTTTTTTAATTTATTTATTTATTAAAGATTTCTGTCTCTTCCCAGCCACCGCCTCCCATTTCCCTCCCTCTCCCCTAATTAAGTCCCCCGCCCCTCAGCCCGAAAAGCAATCAGGGTTATCACATCTTTAACTACCTGTTTTATAAATATGGAAAAAAGAACCATTACAATTATTTACTCCAAAACTACGAAAATTAATCTTCCTGCAATGATTCTAGTGTTTTGACAATATTGTTGTACCTAGTGGGGTTTCTGGAAATAGTCATTTTAACTAAAGCTTTCAAGGTCAATAAAATTTAGTCGCAGGAGGTTCCTTTTGGACATTTGGTCACTGTGACTCACGGAACTCAACAGAACACTGCTGCCCCAGGGTGGGGGAAACACAGCAGACAGGCGTGAAGGACGTAAGCACATCCATGGCATCATGCTGCCAAGCGTCTCTGCTTCCTGTTTGTGCTTTCAGCTACTGGAAACATTGTAATGAAATGTGTCTGGGCCCTTGAATATGCCACATATTTGACCAGCTGACTTCATTATTGTGATTTCTCCTTCCCTGTCTTTATCATAACAAACCATTTTGATCTTCTGAGACCATCTCATCTCTACATCTGAATTGTTTCTTCCTCGTGATAGGGTAGACAAAAAAAAAAAATCATTAACTGCTGTCTATAAATATCCTTGGTGCGCTTGCACCAAAGCCTTTTGACAGGGCAGGTACTAACCCTGAGTTCCCATGGCACTGTCTCGTCCTCACTGATGAATAATTAGAAGTAATGCATACTGGCTGCTAAAACCCAGCATCTGTTTGTTCGTTTTTCTGCCACTGAACTAAATCTAATAGCAACCTTGACTGTCTGGGGTCTCATAAAATGACACCGTAAGTTAAAGGCTTTGCCACACTAAAGGAAATTGGAAGGACTGCTGAAGAAGAATCTCTTTCTAGTATTCTCTTATCTTTTCTTCATGCTTCTCTTTCTTCCCTCCCAGAGTAAGCTGCAGAAGCTAGAATCTGTGTTCCCTAAATGCTCATAGAAACTAGAAACCTCTCTCCGCAAAGCCAATAGTAAAACCTAGAACTCTGTCTTTCTCTTGCTCCTGACTTTCCGCAGAAAGCAGCTGCACAGTTCTCTGCTCCATCTTGTCTCATAATACATCCTAAGAGTCTTGGTTGAGAGAGGAAATGTTATACAAAGAAGTCAAAGAGAATCTAAACAAACACGCCTCACTCTCCCTCCAGTTTGTTACCATTGCATTATGTCCTTTGGTCATAAAAAATATTTTTCCTGACCTTTTAGGTCTTCACTTGTGAGAATCCCATGTTATTTGAAACTTTGACTAAATAATCACTGTGCACATGATATAATGAAAACCTAGTTGGGAGGAAATGTCTGATGGTTTCATCACTCATCACTAGGGTCAAAGCTGACACTCCTATGATAACAGACAGATTAACAAGAGAAAAGACAAGTGAAATAATTTAATAAAGTATCTGGAGATATCAACTTACCAACCAGCATATGCATACATCCCATAATAAAAGGCCAAGGGCAACCCCATCAGATTTGTATCTCTTCCTGAAAATGCATTTTCAAAGTGCTGTGTGTGCCCTGGAATTAGAATACAAGGATTTTTAGAGCTTTGCAAAGAATTTGGTTATTATTTATTACAACCCTATACACAGTTGGGAGATGAACTACCCTCTTCTGACTCTCTGTTCATGGCCAACTCTATCTATTAATATCACACCCAAGGTAGAACAGAAATCTCAAATACATACTTGTCATCTAGACCATTTTTAAGTTTTTTTGCATGTGACCAACTGGATTTAATGGGGCACTTAAATAGGTAACTCCATTTCCCTTGCTTGAGTGTCCTCTGTTTTAACCATGACAACTGACTAAAGCATCTTCCATTAAATTAAAGTTTTGAGGATTTGGCAAAATTCTTAGAAGATAACAATGTGTCGTGGTAGAAAAGAAGAAATCTTGAGTAAGCAGACATCAAGAAATGCCTGCACTGTCTCCTACATCACATCACTTAGCCTCCGGCCTTTATCCCCAAAGTCTGTTTATTCGACACACCTGCCTTCTAAAGTAGGGAAGGCTGCAGACAAAATCCATCATCAAAACCAACAAAGCTTATTCATATAAAGGTTCCCTGCAGCATAGCCCTTCCCAGTCACATAAGAGTGTCTGTTCCCAGCAGCATAGTATAACTAACTGTGATAAGCCATTCTACCCAAAGGGCTTTCTTTATAGAAATAACTTATTGATATTGTTTTGGTCCAAGCCACCATTTTCTTCTAGAAAAACGAATAAGAAACTATACCAAACCCCAAACCATGTTTTACCAATTTTGGCATCAACATGGAGACTTTCTCCCCCTATTTTGTGAACAGTAAGTACCTTTTTCTTTTAATCTTTTGGGTAGTTTAAGAGATTTAAAAAAAATCAGATTTGGGTTAGTAAGTACAGATTCAAAATTAGTACCAAAAAGTATCTGTGGCATCCAGCACCCCCAAAGAAAAACAGCAAATGGTATTATTTAGATAGTAAATGATCCTGCTTAAAAAATGACTTTTAATAAGTAACAAAAGGGGGCCATGAGGGCAGAAGGTGGACGATATATATACAACATTCTCTTGTAAGTCAAATATCAGCTAATGCTCACATCATGAGACCGAGAATTCATAGTGACAGAATGTGAGTATGGGGGCCAAGATGAACAAGTTTGTGTGACACGAAGTGTGATATTTTTCTCAAAGCAACCAACTTCTAAATGTAGTTTTATGAAAACTTGACAGGGTAAATCAGAAATACCCATTTTACTGAAATATTTCCGTGCCTTAATAGAAGGAAATTGTACACACTGAGTGAGATTCGGAAGAAGAAAAACAAACATCTGTCGGGACTTAAGAAGTTGCTCAGCTCCTAAAAGCATGTGCTACTCTTGTAGAGGATCTGAGTGCCCAGCATCCACAACAGGTGGTCACAGTCACCTGCTGCTCTGGCTTCAGGGCATCTGATGCCCTCGTCTGGCCTTTGCAGGCACTTGTGCTCATGTGTACATGAACATTTGTAGACACACAAACATGTACACACACAATTACAAATAAAATATTTTTTAAAAGAAAGAAATATCTGTTGGGTATTCGTTTATGGTCTGTGGTCTCCTTAGCCTAAGAAGAGAATATTTTTCAGAGTTTGGCAATTAGTAATTAATGAGAGGAAATATCTAAACTGTAAAGACTGGGCCACAGTTCTTTGAATGAGCCTCTTCGAGAGTTTTGCAACCAGGCACATTGTTTCTGAACTTCGGGAATGTTTTGGATGCAAAACACAGGCCTTGGGAAGATGAAAGCGGCATTCAAAGGGAAGCTCCAGGCCTCATAAGTGAATGTCCAGGCTACTTTCAGAATCTGGTTCGAGTAGAAATAAATACACCACACTTATCAGTGATCTTTTTCTTCCTGGGGTCTCAGAAATGTGGAAAAACTAAATAACTGGGATACGAATTCTAAAATCTCAATTTCATAAAATTTCGTAGGAAAATATGTCTGGTCTCCAAAGTCCTAAAATATGCTTCAATGCAGTAACATCCTCGGGGAATTTCTCTGGTGTGGGAGAAGCAAGAATTAGTGCGGGCCTATGTTCTGGATGCTATAGCAATAATTAAAATATCACTGTATTGTAACAGGCAGGAAAGACTCAGGAGTTTCATCTGGCCTCTGTACTCAAGGAAATGGCAATGCCGTAGCAATTGCTAAGCATGCCCCACTTTTTACACATACATAAATGAGGGGTCAGAGCCAACTGCAGAGTGTAACTACCTGTCATTCCTGGCATTACACCAAAAAGGAAAACCCAGAAATCAGCTATATGTAGAAGGCCTAGGGACTCTTCCTTCGTCTGCTTTCCAGAATCTGAAAGGCTCTCTGCAGAAGACTAGAAAGTCAGCTCAGGAGATGAAAGCACCCGGAGTGTGGACCATTTTGCCTCCATTCATAGTGGTTGTGAGCTGGCCAGCTCCACAGAGACCGTGGAGAACTGGGACCACGAGCCCACATCTTCTCCCACACCAGCCCTGCTGTTCAAAGGATTCATTGTGTTTACTCTGGGGCTGAAGTTTTGGGATTCGATGAAAGCATTTTCCGGGCAGGATTCTGAGATCGCCCACCAGGCTGGTTAAATGGACAAGAACAGTTCCCTCTCCCAGCTAGAGTGAGCAAGTTCTTGGTGTTCGGTGCCTCCACCGATGGCAATGATTTTAGCTGAACTTTGCCGCTTCCTTGTGTGTTGTGGCAATTCCTCCTGCAGGCTCATTAAATTTCTCTGTAACTTCCTTTCTTTGGAATGTAGACAATACTTAACATGCCCACATGATACATCACGTCTTTCCCATTGATTTGCTCTAATCATCTCTTGCTATTTACTGATTCAGACTCTTTTTCTCTTTCAGTCATCTCCACCTAATCTAAGCAAATGTACATACCATCATTACTAGGCCAACCCTAACTCCGTGATAGCGTTCCTCAAATTCTTATCTTATTAAGTAGGAAGTTTCATGACAAATAAATCCAGAAGTTGCCTCATTTCTTCAGAAATACAAATTTACAGAGAAAATAATGTAATAATAAGAATTAAGTTTTGTTTCCATCAGTTGCTGGATGAAGGTTCTATGGTGATATTTAAGATATTCATCAGTCTTACAGGGCAAGGCCAGTTCTGGCACTCTCTCCTCTACTGCTTAGGGTCTTAGCTGGGGTCATCTTTGTGGATTCCTGGGAATATCTCTAGTGCCAGGTTTCTTGCTAGCCCCATAATGGCTCCCTCAATCAAAATATCTCTTTCCTTGCTCTCATCTCTGTTCTTCCTCCATCTCTACTATACTGTTCCCTCAAGTTCTCCTCCCCGATTCCCTTCTCCCCTTGTCTTCCCCTTCCATCCTCCTTACTCCTCCTACCCTATGCTCCCAGGATTTAATCCCTACTGCTTGGACTGGCTGTTTTTGGAACCTGTTCTCTTTGCATGGATACCTTGCTCAGCCTAGATATAGTAGGGAGGGCCTTGGACCTTCCCCAAAGCAATGTGCCTTGCCCTCTGTGAGGAGTGGATGGGGTGGATAGGTGGAGAGAATGGGAGGAGGGGAGGTAGTAGGAACTGGAACTGGAATGTAAAATGAAAAAAGATAGTTTGTTTTCTTTTTCAAAAAATAAGGCCGGGTGGTGGTGGCGCACGCCTTTAATCCCAGCACTCGGGAGGCAGAGGCTGGCGTATCTCTGTGAGTTCGAGACCAGCCTGGTCTACAGAGCTAGTTCCAGGACAGGCTCCAAAGCCACAGAGAAACCCTGTCTCGAAAAAACAAAAATAAATAAATAAATAAATAAATAAATAAATAAATAAATAAAAAATAAGAAAATAAATAAATAAGTTTGAAAAAAATCCTAAATTTTGCAACCCCCTTTTTTTTTTTTTTTTTTTTTTTGTCACATAGGATCTTGTTTTTAGAGATGTCAGTCCTAAGCCTCACTGCTCTTCTGTGGACACGCATCTCAGAACAAGGAAATACAAATGAGAAAATAATTATTGGTCATCTTCCATCATGTTCCAGAAATATATTTGTTGCCATTTTTGCAAAGTTCTACAATGCAAACAAAGGGTATGTTGATCTGCACTTAAAGCGATAAAGCAAATTCTTTTTTTTTTTATTCTTTTTTTTTTTCCTGTGTTTTTTGGGGGAGGGAGGTGGGTTTTTTTTTTTTTTTCTCTTTGGGTTTTCGTTCCAAGCAATTTTAATTTATACCAAAAGAATTCTCCGACCCCTTTATTTTTGTTGCTTGGTCTACTCTTAATCCTCTGGCTGCCATCCAGCTATAAATACTAACTTACCCTCCGTGCAGCCTTTCAAATCAATTAGTTGACAGTACAGAGTTTAAGTTCCACAAGCGAAGACTAATTAAGGATTCTGCTAGACAAGAGAAAGCCAGTGTTGGAAGAGACCAGAAGCAGAGACGCAGTTTAAAACGCATTTACTTTTCAGTCCATACCTTTAATTAGCTGTATCACTCCGGGGACTATAATTATCAGAATCGCTGTGAGCTTGCAAAAGGTTAGGAAAATCTGGATCCGGGCGCTCCAGCTGACACTCATGCTATTTAGGACCATCACCACAGCTGCAAACAAATGGACAATGTCACAAAAGGCGAACCCCCATGAGCACATGGATGTCTCAGGTCCTTGACAGTAGAAATGTGATCTATAAGCCTGGAGTGCTGGCATGAACTACCAGAACCTAGGAAGTTCAGAATCGCAGGCTCTGCACCAGATCTAGTCTCTCCTCTATTAAAACACTTCCTTGATATACATTCAAGCCTGAAAAGTTTAGATAAAACTCCTGCACAGTCAGAGAACCTGTTTTGGTTTTTGCGCTTTTACATTGCCATGTGATAACAATAAAGTAATGAAGAATAAAATATCTTCACTCTAAAGTTATCCCGTGCATCATGGTAGCGTTGCATTTCATCCTGAGGTCATCCAGTGGGCCATGAGAAGGTGGAATTTCATCCTGAGTCTTCCATCAGGTCATGAGAATGCTGACTTTGACTCAGGAAAGGGTAAGAAGTGCTATGTATCAGGTCTTGTTCTTCAACATCAGGACCAGCCCCATCAGTACTCTTGTTGAACTTCCTCCCTGCTGTCCAAATAGATAATGAGGGGTGAGCTTTAACTACCCTACAAGTGTTGACTATTTGATCAAAAAAATTTTGGGGGATTTTTTCAACGTAGGATGCACAGTGGGTCTGAAGCCAGGAGACTTTCTTCTTCTTAATGATAATGTTGACAGTTTCCCAAGAAGCCACCCCTGTCCACACCAAGGACAGAACAATGGCTGTTCATTCAGACACTGCCAGCAATCAGCTCTATCCCTGGCCCTGGTAGATAGCTAACATATTTTTGTTGTATGAATAAATGAATGAATGAGTAAACTGGGTTATCAAAAATGTTAAGGAACAGTTTTAATAGTGATGTTCTAGATTTTCCTTTTCTTATCTGATGGAAAGTCTAGGGCTACTCTACACAGTGAATTTCAACTTTATGTTATTGCAAAAAAGGTAGTAGGCACAGTGCAGCCGAAAGCAGTTGGCAGCCATTTCATTCTGGACACATATGTTTTTCATCAATAAACCTTTTTTCTTTTTTTGTAAAGGTATATTCTCCCTTAGCAAAGATTTTAAAAATGAATGGAATTATTTCTCAGGAATTTAAAAAAAAAAAAAACACTACCAAAATTCTTACCATTCAAATTGGAATGTGTACAGTCAGGAGTTGTTAACATGCTTCCCTTATATAAAATAATCATTTCCTCAGTTCCCTAATTAGAAATTGCTGCAGTATTAGCAATACACAATGACTAATGGGAAAATTAAAACAATCTATACCCAAATAGAACCTAATTAATGCACATTCTTTCAATGGTTTTGGGCAGCTATCTAAAATCAGCATCCAATCAATTAAGTATTACATGCAAAGGTGTTGATAGCAGCTACTGACCCACAGAATAGGGTAAAGAGCCATTGATGTGTGCACGGGGAGATGACAAAGTCAGAGACCGGAAAACAGGATGTCTGAGGATTATTTATAAAAATAATATCAAGTATCTAAAGATGACAAAACATCAAAAATTTTCAAACTTGAAATTTAGTTTACAGCAACATTTCAACAAATTTTGTGGAGAAAAGAACGAGCAAACTATGTACATAAATGTGCATACACAACCAAAGCTAAAGAGGTGATGGGGGTGAGGTAAAAGAAAGACGAACAGACTTTCACTAGGAAACGGTTCACATGGTATAGGCAGATTACTACCACACTATACATACTAAATTAATACAATTTGCTTTGCAAAACATATCCCTAGAGTAAGGGTAGACATTTTAATGAGTAAATGAAGTAGTGAATTAAGTCTTACTGAGAAAAAGACAAATTCAGGGGGCTCAGAAGAGTCCACTGAAAGTGAAACGGGGTGTAGTAATGTAGTATTTCAAAGTAATAATGACAGCAAATGGTCAAAAGGGCCTCAGGTAGGGGGCATCATATTTAAGCTATTTTTGAAGCTGAATATTTGAGGGAATAAATAGATCCACTGTCAGTGATCAAAGGCATTATTTCATCAGGAATGATTAAAAATAAAATAATTTATCTGTCTCTAATACGTACAGAGAAGTGACATATCAAAAACAATGAAAGGCAATCCTGCTTTTTTCATATTGAATGAGTATCTATTTCCTTATGTCAACCTTGTGTAATTAATGGCTCATCACATGAGAAGGGGGTCCAACTTTGACATGAAGGTGGAAAAAAAAAAACTTGTCCTTGGTTGTCCCCAGCAACAAAGGAGCCCTGTGCTTGCCTTTCTCAGGTGGTCCTAAATAAAAAAGATGCCCTGGGAGAAAGAGAAAAGGAGAAAAAGAGGGAAATGAAGATGTGGACACACTGGGCAAGAAGAAATATTCTCATTTGAAGAACACCTGATCACATGCACATTTGGGAAAAGAAGGTCCGCTGCCTCTTAAATACTTTATGTTCATTGAAATACAAAAACCAATGAGGATCTGGGACATTATTTTCTATTTTCTAAACTTTCCCCAAACAAATGGAAGACACAAATCAATCACCAGGAATTGATCCTTTCACCTTGCTTCCTTCCCCTTAGCTGAGGAAAGAATTCTTAAAAGATTGACGTCCCTCAAGCTTTCCTCCAAGGTCGGCTTTATCTGAGCAGCTAACATTGTACTCATCGGTAGCTACATCATCTTCCAGGAGGTGCCCCTCAATGACCTGGAGGTACAGTCTAGTAAGGGACAAGGCCACCTATGGGGCAGCCAGAAGAGGCTCTCGGGCTGCTATAACCACTGTTTCATCCTGTGTTACACAGCAGGATTTAAGGCTGCATGTGCTATGTATCCAACAGTATTGAGTAGGGATTTGGGATTCAGTAAACACAGCAGTGGGCTGAGTTTCTGAAGTTAACCACATCTGCCTTTGAAATGCACGCCATCTACGCATATTGTATAAGAAAACAAGTCTGAGCCAATACTCTGGCCTGGGTTTTACTCCCTTAAAGTAACAGTTAATTTCACACATGAGGAAATTTGGGGGGGGGGGGGGGGCTTATTTCAGATTTTTACCAAAACGAAAATTCAGCAAGCAACACATGGCCGTTATTTACTTATTTATGATGCAGTTTCCTAGAAATCAAAATGTAGCAGAAAAAGCTATATCCATAAATCTTAGAGATAAGGAACCCATTTTTGAAAGGAGTTGTATTTAAAAAGGATGTTTAGGGAAATCTTAGGGGCTGGCGCTCTGATTGAAGGACTAGCAAGTATTTCTTCCAGCACACTCCATCACTCGCCTCTGTCTTTCATTTTGAAAAGAGAGGTTACAGATTGTTGTCTCTCAAAGCCATATTCTTTCGGGCTTCCGCCTTTGGAGCACTCCATGCTAAACTGCTAACACATACAGATGCTATATATGAATGCTACATGATGAGATGAAGTGGGTGCCTCCACTGTTTCCTGCAGCAGCTGCTGGGTTCCTTTATCTCTCAGCATCCATTTCCCGGATGCACGGATCTCAGAAAGTACCTTTAGACCGCAGACGGCCAACTCTGTATCTATGATCTCACTGTTGGGAATAAACAGAGCCAGCAGCACAGAAATGTAAACTAGTATCTTTTATCAGAGATGGTGCAAAGACTTCCATGGGTAGTGTTTGTCAATCTTCACATCTCTACGACATGGCTGCGAGTATCAGTTGTGTATTTCTTATGAGCAGGTGAAACTCTGGCTTCTGTTTAATTTGATTGTCTTCATAAATAGGCAGTACGTGTTAAGATAAGATTAGAAGGCAGGTTGGCAAACTCCTGAGCTGAAGCCTTTACCACGAGTTCACAGGTGACACAATGAGGAAATTGCTCAGAAGATATCTGTGAGCTCACTGATACAACCAGTTTTTTGTTTTGTTTTGTTTTTACAACTTCTGCCTCTCTTTCTCGTGGTTCTCTGGAAGGGTTCCTGTCTGTCTTAGGATCTCAGGGCACTTTGCGTCCACACTTTGCATATCATCCTCCTGAAAGATATGGCTGTTGTTCCTTAGTATATGTATATCTTGCTGTGCATATCTACTGAAAGGTCAGCTGTATTGGGTTGTAATTTAGCTCATGGAGAAGATGAGCAAGGATACCTAGGCTTCAGATTTAAAGAGATCCACAGACACGCACTGTGACTGGATTGTCAACACAGGCTAGTCATATATTTTCAATACAATCTGAAGGTGCCAGGAAAACAGAAATCGTCATAACATATGTGTAGCATTAGCTGGTTTGATTGTGTCTTTCTCTGTGTGTACATGTCCTCGTGTGTCCGCCTGAGTGTGACCACAAGGTAGGCACATGCGTATATACATTAAGAGGCCAGAGACAGATGTTGACCTAGCTCTCTACTCTATTGTGGAGATAGAATCTCTCATTGAAGTCGCGCTCACTGAATTAGCCCTGGAAGCTGTTCAGTCTCTTAATTCTTCAGTCCTGGAATTACAGGCTGGGGATGAAATTCAGGTCTTCATGCTTGCTTAGCAGACATTTTACCTACTGAACCATCTTCTCAGCCCTTAGCTATGATTCACAATGACAGACAAATGCCATTTTCTTGCCCACCCCAATTACATTCACAAGGTTTGAGCTATACAACATGACTCTTATCTATGAAGCAAACACGCAAAGCATGCGAGACTTAGAGATGTGGTAGGGTAGACGTGAGTACAACTCACAGCATAAGAAGAAAGTGGTACTGTAATATTATTCCACATGAGAATATGCTTCTTTAGGTCCAGCTTTAGCTACCAGAGGGATAGGCTCAATATTTTAAATCCTGAATAAACATGCCTGTTCCTTCAGACTATGAGAGAAGTGGAAATTGTGATCTTCCACAGAAAGTCGTTCATCATGTCAGAATCGGATTTATGGACATAAAAGTCAAAGTGAATTTACAAGATTTTCCACTTACACTTCAACATGCCTAACATTTTTGTAAAAATGGACGGCATTTTGTATAAACACAAGCATCTCATCTTCATTATTTGCTGGAAATGGGGTACTTTGAAGAAAATGTGGGTAAATTAGCATTTAGATAAATCCCTCCCTTGCTCTGCTATTATTTTGCAAATGATGGTTAAAATTTCACAAAAGTTGAAACTCTTTTGAAGTTTGACCTTTTTCTATACTTAACTAGAGATTTAAATTCCTCATTTCCCGCTAGGAACTCAGGAAGTAATTCGTGCAATTAAACTCCATTTTCTTCATCTCCTCAACCTTCCCCCTATATCAGGCAGAACATCACCTATATTCACTTTGAAAAATAAAGTATTTGAAAGATTTGCCCCAGGTAAATTACTCTTTATTTTTGTTTCCACCCCCTGTTGCTCCATTAAAAGCTAAATTCCTCTTAAAGGCAGTTTGACTTTTCCAATTAAGTCATTGACTTAAATTACTTCCTGCAGACTCAAGAGAAAATTCTGGTTTTTCTTTCAGTACTTTTGAGTTTAAGAACTTGTCCCTGATCAGCATCTGTAGTTTATGTCACAATTGACAAACTAATACTATAGCTAGTGACAAAAATAAAGTGAAATATCGAGGTTCCATCAACCCATCAGGCTCTTCTCTAGTGACTGATTCCTCTACCAAACTCTACTACAAATACAGGAGCCCAAGCAGAGCTTGCTGATCCTTTCTTGCAATTGTTTTTAATTTGGGGGAGAAGTTTGAAATTTTAAATTCCCTACAATATGAAAGTCGCCTTTAAAAAAGGTTAGCAAAGTTGGAATTCATAACAGAGACATTTAGACTTATAAAAATACAAACACATCAGCACTATTTATCTAATTTCATGGCCAAAGCACGAAAACGTTGTGGATCTGTAAATATTTGTCCATCAGGATTTACTTTAAGATTTCTGCTTCTGTTTTTAAATTAATAACACGTATTAATAATAGTCTAAAGAGTTCTTTAAGATATTTTCCTTGAGATCCTTTCTCTTCTCAGTCTTCATGAAACAACTGTGATGGGATTCGGTCTCATTCAGGGAAAGAGAATACGATAGATGGAAAAATGGCTGTTAGTCTAACCCTTTAGTGCAACATCAGAGTCATCAAGAACCTTCCATGTGTAAGGAACACTTCAATCTTTAGTCTCTGATAAAATTTTACATTTCTATAGTCAATCAAGATACATTGTTATTTCACAGGCATTTTATCAATCAATGAAACAAAAGCATAAATATGTTTAATAGACCAAGATCACATAACCAAGAAACCAGAACACTTTGTTCTAGATCCAAGTCGTTGGTCTATAGTAATTACAACCACTGTGTAAGATGATTCACCCCTAAAAGATCACGGTGCCAGATCTAATATCTTGTCTAGCAAACTGTTTCTCTCCACTAATCATCCTCAGAACTGAAACTTGCTAAAACTTAGGTTTAACAGGTCACAAACTACAGGTATTTCTGCCAAATTTAAAACAACAACAACAACAACAAAAAAAAAAACCTTAGAGCTCTTCTCATAAAGTCAATCAGTTAACAGATACCTCTGGAGCACAAACAGGCAACCTAAGTGCTGTTGAGGAGCTGAGAACATAGCATTGTAGAGGCCCCTGGTCCCAGGGGAATTCCAGTGACATTTCTCCACAAAAGTAGAACTACTCAGTGCTTGTCCTGCATTCTTAATAAGCTGCAGGAGTCATCACAAATACTCTACATATTGCTATGTCTTCACGGCCCCCACAACACAGGCATAAGCATCCGGAGACAATACTGAGGTGCAGAGCAGTGAGGTCAATGGTTCCTAGGTTTTCTATCTATGGTGTCTATAAAGGGAAGACTGTCATAGGCAGCTACATCTTAATTCGGAGAATTCCAAAACGTATACTTTTCAGTCATTTTCTTTGTCTTTCCAGAGATGTCACGGAACAACTGTGTGTTTAGGAGTAAGCTGTTTGTTGAGAAATCCATGTATATCATCCCAGAGATGTCACGGAACAACTGTGTGTTTAGGAATAAGCTGTTTTGTTGAGAAATCCATGTATATCATCCCAGAGATGTTTTTTACATAGGATCACTCACACTCTGTTACTGACTAGCCCTTAGGGAGTCTGCTGTCACAAGTGCATTGAGCTTTGTGTTATTCTACTTAGCCACTGTGGAGGGAGCGACCCTCTAAACAGTTTTCCCTGAGTGTGCAACTCAGCTACTCCTGTGTTCTGTTCTCTGGGTTTTTCAGCTTAGTCAACTACGATCTTAAAAATTCAGAAAACAACGATTCAATCAGCAACTTCTCTCCATGACTTTCTAGAATGTTACAGGAAAGGACCGTCAGATTTGGCTCTGGATGGCTAACTGATTTTTGTGCATGTTTCTCTTTTCATTTCATTTCTTTCTGCAATTTCTAAATGCCTATACCCATTGATTTAAAAAAAATGAACAACTTCCTAATTTGTAGCCCATAAACAATCTTCTAGCTGAGAAGGGCTACTAACTATCAAAACTTGAGAGAAAATTCTTATCATGGCCAAAAATAGGCTGAGAAAAAATAACCCTGAGGGTGACAGTCAATATCACCAGAAACAATACAAACACAACATACACACCCGACATATAAGCATAACCCCAGAATCATTCATGAGTAATGATTTCACATAGCACTGGCATAGGGTAATTTCCAGTTCAAAAACCACCCCTCAGAATAGTTCTTCATCTCTAAGAGTCTCCCGATTCACTGTCCGTTTAATATTTCATTGCAGAAGAAGTTTTTATTTGTCTGCTTTTGAAGATCATCTCCCACATCTGTTGATGCAGTAAACAGTTGGCATACATTATAACAGCAGAGGCCACTTCGAATCCTGTGTTTCTGCCTCTAGTTCCTGACACCCATTTGAAACGTTAAGCACAAAGAACCCAATTTTGGGGATACTATGCAAAAAAAAAAAAAAAAACGCTAAAGAAATTTGCCTCCAATCACTTGGTTATGTTGTTTTTTATTTTCGGTTACAGCTACAATACTCACTGATGCCCACAGCTGTTACGAGCTTGATTGCAAGTTCAGGGATTTCACATTGAACAAAAAACGGTTCCAGAATGTAGCGTCCAAAGGCCAAGGATATCACAGCCGTAGCTCCGGGGCTAAGAAGGAATATATGTAGGTTAACTACAGGCAGCAATGAGTATCAGTTTCACTAAAACATTTTTATCTTCAGGTCTTACTACCTAACATGTGGAACCTATCTACACAGACTGTTATGTGTAGTTATGTATCTAACACAGACGTCTATTATGCTTAGAACTTGGTCTTTTATTAAGTCACCATACTTTCCAAAGGAAATACTGTCTACTCCAGAAATGGTTAATTTCTAAAAGTCTTTTTGAAAATCAGCACTTGTAGGTGTTCATTGCCAAAATATGTCTAAATCTTGAGTGTTGACTCTTAATTTTCTAGTTCAAAAGAAATCCCAAAGTCAAGAAAATATTCTTAACTTCTTAAGAATATGTATAGAGAGAGAACCACAGAATAAGCAGACAAAATCCCAGCCTGAGGAGACAGAAACCAGACAATAAGTCATCGCTCTCTAGTTCTTCAAAGGGAAAAATGAATATTCCATTTCATCTTCAATATGCGTACATATTGTTGCCACACACAAGGAAATCACAGAATTGCTCAAGTAAGAGCCCCTTTCTGCTTCTCTTCCTTCTTGTGGTTACCTAATATCCAGGCTTGATCCCTGGATTACCAGAAAACAGCCACCATTATCTGTCTCCAACCTTGGTCTCCTCCCTATTTCCAGTCACCACCACAAACATTGTAATGTTCTTCTCTCCCTTCTCCAAGGCGGATGCTGTTCTTAGTTGTTTTTTTTTATCATTTATAAGTCTTTCATTTGCATGACATTTCAGTATCCTTAAAACATACTTAGGCCTTGGTCAGGTCTTGCCCATATACTCAGTCTAAACTTCTCCTGCCTCTTCCCTTGCCTTCTTCCCAGAATCAAGATGTGAATCACTTCCGTTCAGAGCCTTTTCAAATAACTACCTTTGCTCCTGCCATGAGTGGAACGTGTAGGGCAACTTGATTGTTCTGTGTGCATAATCAGCATCAAATAGCTGCTTTTTGTACTATCTGGGTTCAGTCTTGGTCCAGAGAAGTGTCCTCAACCCTCCGTCTGGGTCAGATCTGTCCAAGTGTCCTCTTACACAACGCCAAACCTGTCCCTTCCACCCTGCATATCACAGTAGGGTTTCGTTTTTTTGTTGTTGTTGTTGTTTTTTGTTTGTTGTTTTTTGTTTTTTCAAGACAGGGTTTCTCTGTGGCTTTGGAGCCTGTCCTGGAACTAGCTCTGTAGACCAGGCTGGTCTCGAACTCAGAGAGATCCGCCTGCCTCTGCCTCCCGAGTACTGGGATTAAAGGCGTGCGCCACCATCGCCCGGCTCACAGTAGGGTTTCTATTCTACTTCTTGTGACTCCCAGGTTGAAACTCTTGACTTTGAGTTCTATCAGAACAAGACTGTGTCCATTGCTAATCAGAACTTTATTCCAGCGCAGTGACTGTCACACAGTAGTCACTGAATATTTTGTAAATGAGTGAACCTAACTTTAAAGTCCCCATTGTGTTCTGTCGGGTGAGTGTGCCTGGATTCATTTTGCAGATTATTTCTAGCAGTACAGACTTAATTCTCTAGTATAACTTTAACATTAGAGATCACAGATATTACTATTTATATGTTATGAGTATTACTATTAGAAGAGAAGCATTTATGTACTGAGGGAACCATGTCCTTCTTCATGTCATTTGTTATTTCGTCTGTTTGAAAAATTACCCCAGCAGCACGAGTCCAGTGTGAAAAAGGGGAATACAAATGTATCTAAGAGCTTCCAGAATTTATTCCGGTAGTTGGACTACACACACACACACACACACACACACACACACTAAAGCAGTTGTTTCACAACTAAAGCAACATCTGATTATCACCTATTTAGGAGCAGGAACTGTGGTTCATTCCAATTTAGATCTCTTTATCTTGCCATTTGCCATTTGCAGCAATTTGTGGAAAGAATAAATTAACGAACCAGCACCATATCTGTCCACTGCGAATGGAGTGATCGTACCCACGGCAACACTGAGCAATTAGATAAAGTTACACAGCAAGCGCATGGATGAAGATGCAGTGAAGTCGAAGGACATCAGGCTGGGAGGCCCAACAGCCTGACAGGCCAGCATTCTAAATGTTCTTATTTCAGTGCTGAGCATGTTACACTCAAAATAACATAATCTTGGACTTCCTGACGCTTGTTAAGAAAGGATTCATAGCCAGGATTCACAGGCAGCTGATGTAAATGGTGGGAAAGTCATAAAGGTGTAAGACTGCCTAATGCAACATTGGTAGCTAACGTAGTAAATGAAAGACAGGGTGATGAGTTCAATGTTAGTGGGCTGCAGAGGCTACTTTCGTTTTTCAGAAGGATTAAGAGATGAAAGAAATGTCATAAGCTAGGGATGAACCAAAAACTGTTTTCTCTTTTTAAAAAAAATTAAAAGGTGTGTAAGGATAAACTTTGAAGAGTACATGACTCATATAAGTATACAGAATTACATCCCAGATAAGAGACCTTGGGGAAACAGAAAGGACGCTCTTTTATCTTCATTTAATTCTAGCAATTTCTAAGCAACAAAGAACTGTCATTACCAATGAAGTGTGCCCTACTCTGTAGTTTGTCATTAACGCCATAACAATCACTCCTGCTAATGAACACGTAAGAGCTCTGCCTTTGTCACGTGTGTTAAGAGCAGAATGAAAACTCACCTGAGATGTCAGCCCTGCGGGCCATAGGTTTACAGGGTGAGCAAAGTCCCCTGAGGATCCCTACTGAATTCTGCCATCAGAAAGTGCAAGTCACATCCTGTGGAGGAGTTAGCACAAAGCACCTGTGACACAAGCCACACACATAACATCACAGACTCCCCACAATGCTGAAGGAAATTTGCTGTTCAGAGTGACTTGGCGCTATTCCGTGCCAGGAGAACAAGGAAGGGGGACTGAGTCTTACAGCCGTACAATCAAAAGACTTTCGCAACTGCAGATTGCTTGTGTGTTTAATGTGAGGAAATGAATCACTCGGGCTGTGTAAACTCGATCTTGTTCTTACTTTTCGTGAAGCGTAAGACTTGATAATACACTCAGTTGTTTGGCACAGATGTTCCTTAGTCACAAAAGTAAAGATAAATGGCCTGATGACATCATCAACAATAAGAAAAAACTCAGAATGCTGGCACATTAAACTCTGTCTGGTCAGTCAAAGGGCCAGGGTGTCAGGGGGGATTTTGAAGATTCACCTCCTCTCTAATAAATACCTTTCCCATGAATTAAATTTGAAGTTTAAAGAAAACTGTTTTTATGCCTTAGGGTCTTCGTGCTTCCAACAAAGTCACATGACACATATTTGTCATTAGTTAAAAGTAGTAGAGATGAACCTGAAAAGCGATGAAATGAATAGGGTTATTCTCCCTGAATCGTTGCCACATCCTTACCGTATTATGAGCAGTTCCACCCAGACTCGGACAAAAGCTAGTAAAGGGCCGAAGACCTCCAGAATGTATGTGTAATGGCCACCAGATTTCTTTATGCTCGTCCCCAATTCAGCATAGGACAAGGCTCCTGCGAAAGGTTATAATAAAAAGTTATGAATTTGACGCATAACCAAGCAGTCTTGTGACCGAATCACACAGCAGCATTTGGGTTACATTCTTTTGGTCAGAATGACGTCCTTCACGAGAACAATCATCATCTCATAACCAAGACCCACCGAGTTTCTCTTTTAACTTCCTCACAATTGAGACCTGCCTCGTGGTAATAAAAAAAAAAAGAAGGAAGGAAGAAGAAAAAAAAAAGAAAGAGAGAAAGAAAGAAAGAAAGAAAGAGAAGGGAGAGAAGGAGGGAGGGAAAGAAGGAAGAAGGAAGGAAGGGAGGAAGGGAGGGAGGGAGGGAGGGAGGGAGGGGAGGGAGGGAGGGAGGGAGGGAAGGAAGGAAGGAAGGAAGGAAGGAAGGAAGGAAGGAAGAAGGAAAAGCCAAGGACTGGAAAGATGGCTCAGCACTTATGAGCACTGACTGCTCTTCCAGAAGACCCAAACTCTATTCTCAGCATCCACATGGTGACTCACAACTATCTGTGTCTCTAGGTCCAGGTGATGAAATGCCCTCCTCTGGCCTCCTCCAGCACCAAGCATGTACATTGTACATATATACGCACATAGGCAAAATAGCCATACACATAAAAACGAAATAAAATGAACTGAAAATAAATGTAAGGAAAAGAATTTTGTTCAAAATGGTTGACTACAAACATGGTTGAGAATTTGTGGTCAGAAACCAGAGGACAAAGGCAAAAGACAAGGCAGATGTCAATGATACTGACCTATTCTATGAATAACAACACCACTTCATGCTAAGACAAGCTATGCACTCAAACTGACCTAATTATGGCATTTAAAAAATTGTAAATAAACAATGTTTCTGTGGCACATCAAAATATGGGTTATCTGTTCTTTGGACCAGAATGGACCGCACACCTTGTGAGATTTCCGTTAATTGATTTTTCAGCAAATTGAATCTTGATTCAGTTGCTTGGTTCCTGCAAATGGTTATTGTGGATGTTTTCAAGATGTACATACAGGAAGTTGAAAGGACAACTGCTTTTACAATGAGATTCCATATGTATAGTCACATATGAAATGTAAAATCAATTATAAATTAAGTTATGGGTACAAACAATACTCAGATGAGACTGGAGAAGCTATTTTAACTCCTCAAATACTAATTTTCATCCCCTTTGAGGTGAAAAAAATGCATTTCATCTCATAAAAGACTTGTGCATATTAAGATTGTAAAGCATAGCACAGGTAGGCCTGATTCTGTGAACAACACACAAAAACACAATACTTACCAACTAACTCATAGTCAATTACAAAGGACAAAAAAAATAAATTCTAATTTGAGCCAAAAAAATATAAAAAGCACTGAATACATTGCTTAGTGCTCAAAGGTAACAGAGTTCTGCCCAGGAACCTAATGACATTCCATGTGGAAAGTAATTCCTGATCAGTAGTGTCTCCTATAGAACGCCCAAAATAAATATAATTTGGAAATGTAGTGAGGTTTGAGTGTGACCTTACCTGGTTCCCACACATAGCATTATCTCAGAGTCACTTGGAGAATTATTTTAAAGAGGAAAGGAATCAGGAAAGACTTTAAGACCACACCCTCGACTTATTCTCAGAGTCCAGACTCCACCCCAAAGAACACTCCAAGCAGTTCTGGCGTTTCTTAATGCCCAGGGATGCTAAAGTGTTGAGTCTGCATGTCATTATTTAAGAATTTTAGAGTAGTTCACTAATTTGGAACTAAAGGTTAACTAGCTACAGTAAGCTTCTTTTGAAAAAGTCATTACCATGTTGGTAGGTTGTCCAGAAAAGCAACCAATATAACCTAGTCATTGGAAAGAGTCTTGAGCGCCTTGGAATTTACTGTGAGGGAATCAATACCCAGACCTCTGTACACTTTGCCCCGGGTTTAAATTGAGTTCTTGGAGAATGGAATTTTCATTTAAAGGTCTCAAACTCCATAACTATGTGCCCAGATGAAAAGAAGTTCAAAGCAGGCTATAAAAGTCCATGTGTTGACCTCAGTGCTCAAAAAGTAGTAAACCAAATACAGATGTTGCTCCCCTTAGAGAGGGTGACTTTGTCCCCCAACATATTCAGAGCACTAGTCAGTGGGAACTTCATGGGCAACATATAGCCTAGGGATCACTCTACACATTTGCTTTGAGCTAGACAGAAATCATTCTACACAAACTTCATTTTATAAGTGCTAAAATATCTCAAGGAATTAATTGAATGACAAATTCTTATCACCTCTTACTGGAAGGTTAAAAAAAAAATCACATGCTGAACCCAGTGTTGGGGGCTCTCCTAGTCCACATTCTTGATTTGTATTCCCTGGGTTCTAGAGCTTCAAGGAGAAGAGCTCTCTTTTTGTATCTCACTTGTTTCCTACTTGTAAAGACTTTATCACCAAAAAGCTCCCAGTAATTGAAGTGGAAACAATGTAAGAGTTCATCTCTGAAGTCAGTGCCCAAACATCCACTTCAGCTCACAGTACCCGCTCAGGTGTTCTCTACTGTTTCCTGAGTTTCCTCTAAAGATGGCAGACTAATATACACAAGCATATTTTTACTGTGCAAGTCAACTAGCCCAGCCTTCAAAGTAATTCATTTTACCGTGTCTGAATAACCATTGATTGTGTGTGGAAATCAACTCGCACAATGGGAGATGCCTATATGAAAGTCTGCAAAGTCCAAGAAACTGGTTGTAGTTTCTCTGATTAGATATTGATTTATTCTAAATATATCAAGTACTGGAAGGCGCTGAAAGCCTGAGGGGACGCTGTCATTTAAGATCAACAATTGAGTTTCTCTTTGTTTCTCTGGGCCTGCATATGCCAGAACCACTTTAATATTAATAATGTAAGGATCCTGCTGGAGATTGGGACAACTGTATTACTGCAAAGAATGAAGAGAACTGGAAAGGGACCACACACAGCTGTCACCAAACATTTCATAAGGCATAATCTAGTCACATAAATGATGTCACCAAGGTTTCCAGGTTCTTAATTGAGCCATAGATCTTTCTATAGGAAGTCTACTTTTAAAAGTAATTGAAATGCCTCCATCCTAAAAACAGATATTTGGGTTCCCTCTGTAAGTAGCTCTCCCCAAACAGCGATTTAAAATATCATAAGACCTTAGCAGAAAGAATGAGTGGAGCCCAAGTTAGCACTCAGTCCCAGAGTAACTTGGTCCCAGAGTAACAGGTTAACAGAATAACTTAAAAGTATGAGCTACTTTGGGACCAAAGTATAAATCAAATCAAATAAATTGACCATTCACCACTTTCTGTCACCTTTACAATGAACTCGGGGAGTTTTCTGCTGATTCGCCCTCCTGATCAAAAGTCAATTATTTCCTCTACAGTATTAAGCCTCAAACCAATCAAAGAAACAGAACTTTTGAAGAGAAAAAAAAATAATAGCCAGTGAACGGGTAGAGAAATTATGTTTCCCTAGAGACGGAGTAAATCACAGATGAAGAAAACAGATCCAGGCAAAGCAGGGAAGACACATCCAGTGAAGCCTGGAGGCTCATGCTGAGAAATTATGAGAACTTTTCTCATTTAAAGCTATTAAAAAGGGGGGGGGGAAGAAGTTCAAGTCATTGCCATTCAAGAGACTGAGTCACAACAAACACCTATCTTTCCAAGGACTTTTGAAAGCATAATATTAGGAATGAACAAGTCTATGAATTAAAAGTATCAAAAAGGCAAAGAGAACCACCCATTTGTTAAGCTAATAAAACGTCTGTGCCAGTGTTCTGAACATCCAGTTCTGCATGTAAATAGGCCATGCGGGCTGCACCTCACAGGTGTTTCAGCCAGAGAGCCAGCTGCCACAGCGCCCTAAGCATGCCTGCCTCACAGACTCCGCAGAGAAAGCTTGCTCGGCTTTCTGGGTCATCAAAGTTAGTTTTTGCCCTCCTCACACCAGAGAAAAGTCAGAGAAGTCTGTCTCAGACAGGAAAAGAAAGGAGTGTAGCCTGAAGGAAAGAATCCAAGAGGATTCAGTCTATGCCAACAGCAGTGTGTTTGGGTAGTGCACATACCTGAACAACAACAACAAAAATTCATAATATTTCCGGTAATATTCGCCATTCATTTCCTCCTCAGAAATAACCCTTTGCTCTCCTGGAGAGCCCCACAGCCACACCCCCCAGAGAAGAAACACACTCACCAAAAAGTGACAGTACTCCACAGGCCGACCAGAAAACCAGGGACATGCCCACGCTGCCCGTGCTCTGGAGTATGCCCTTGGGGGAGATGAAGATGCCCGATCCGATGACAGTGCCGATGATGATGGAGACCCCCCTCAACAAAGTGATCTTCTTTTTCAGAACCACCTTCTCCTGCCCAGGTGGCTCTTGGTCCCCCATGGAGGGCAGCCTCCCACTCACATTGCCAGGCAGGTAACCTCCTTTGGAGATGGTGGCCACAACTGGCTTTCTGACCATGATAGTGTCACACCAGGGGAGGGGAGTGAAGAAAAAAGAAAAAGAAAAAAAAAAAACACAAACAAACTTTCAACTTTGGTTTCTCTAGATGTGACTGGTCCCTGCTTCCTCTTTGCTTTCACTGACTGGCTCGGCACTGTGATGTCCACAGGTGAAAACACAGAGGTGTGTAAGAGCCTTCGTGGCGATCTAATTACTCCCTTGCCCCTCCGGAGCACCTGTGTGTGGCACGGGCTCCAGGAGCGTCAGTTTGCTGCAGCCGCGGCGGCTGCCCTATCATTACACACCAGCTCAGCTTCCTCGTGGGCTTGTATTTATGCTACCGCCTGTCACACCAACTTACTGGGCTACAATGATGATGCAAATTCTCCAGGTTTGCATCAGCCACATGAGAAAGCTCCAGCTTGAGAAAGCGCCAACATTACTCAGCTTTTTTTTTTTTTTTAACAGTAGCGGGTGTGTTGCTCAACTGACCTAAAGCATTTCCCTGAACTAAGCATACTCTTAAAGAGGGGCTTAACCAATCCAAAAGAAGTAAACTGAGAACAGACTTTGTCCTAGCGGTGGCTTTAAGCAACTCAGCTCGCACAGAGAAGAGAATATGGAAAATGAAACAGGAAACGATTACTTCATTTTAAGGAGTTGCTTCTTAACTTTTAACGCGTGCATAAAAACGTTGTACGCACAACTGTTTTGACAATAGAAAAGTGCCTTAGGGCTGCTTCGTTTGCAGCAGCAAAGTTTAGACTTTATAATTTGTATTCTACTTACTTCCCCGGGTGTGTTTCCTAGCAACACTGTCAAATCTAATATTTACAAAGCTAGAAAGTTTCTGCACACCAGAGCCGTGGCCACGCACAGCTCCACATGAAGAGACGCAATTATTTCTTAAGACCTCTAATGCGCTGGTGTTTAAGATCGCCATCTGAGTTCGAGAAGCTGAACCACCGGTGACTGGAGAAAATCGTCTCTTTGGGATTCTCGTCAGCACAGCGCGATTGCCTGAACTAAGTAGAGGACTCCTTCATTTGCATGTGGCTCCGTCAAATTAGAAAAGACTCTACTGTGAATCTTAGGCAATACTTACAATTGCAGGAAGGCACACCTAGAGCAAACGCTTGAGAAGGAATTCACAGCATAATAGTTGGAGAAAGGAAGGGGATTAAAGGGCCTCTTTTTGGATCTGTAAGCCATTATGATTAAAATGTGAAGTGTATTCAAATCAACAAGTGCTAAGTTTTAGCTAGCTCGAAGTCCTAAGTTCTCGGTGACTATTAATAGAAGTACAGTGTCCATTTCATAAAACTAAAAAGATTTTTTTTACATTAGGAAATACTGAAATTTTGAGGAGATGGAAGTATTTAATCTGATTTAGTGTTCTACAATGTGCACATGTACTGAAACCTAACACCCTATTATAATATACACAGCTTTTATTTTTGTCTGTCAGCTAAAAAGAAATTTAAACAGATAAAAGTGCATTGAGATTGCAAACTAGAGTTAAAATGTTTACATTGAAAAGATCAAAAGTAAACATTTAAACTTGGAACTTTCTCCTTCTACCCAAGTGTCTTATAAAAGCCAAATAAATACCAAGAGAAAAGGAATCTCAACTATATCAGCTTTGGCTCTGGTTCGCTGCGGTTTGAATTTAATGAGAAGAATCCGATGCCATCATTATCCTGAAGCTACGTTCAGACCCATGATCAAATATGCTTTAGAATCTCAGAACAGAAACAACAAACAAAAACTCTCTGGAAGGAAGGTTGAGCTGAGGGGAGAGAGGGGAGGGAAGAGAGGGATGGAGAGATGACAGAGGCAGGAAATAACCTGGCAGGAGGGACTTGCAGGGACGGGTGAGATTGGGGGTTGTGGGGGTGACAGAAGCAGGTAGCAACCATTGGAAAGGAATCCTGGAAAATCAAAGAAAATGTCTATGACATGATTGCCTCATCGCACCAATAACTGAGGCCACACCATGGCCCTTTTACATGACCTACTCAAAGTCTGTATAATTTGCTTTGGATATACCAATCCGCGTTCTTATAAAGCCAAAATTAATACTTTTCATCAGCTGTTATTTATTTCAAAAAATAATAAATGGAAAATGGTCCTCATTAAATCTTGTCCAAATTCCTCAGAAAGGAAAACAAAGGCTCTCCTGCCCTCTGTTCTATTTCTCTTGCTTTTGGCCTGAATTACCACTCACATAATCCTCCTGATGAATGAACAGAAGCAGGGAGGGGAAGTTGTGGTCTCCTCAAAAGGAGACGTTAATTCTGAAGAAGTAAGAGTTTAAAATAAAACACTAAGCCCCAGGCAACTGTGTCCTCTCCTTGCCAAGGCTTCATATTTGATGACTAGATTATAAATGGGTGGACTAGTAAGACTAGGGTGCTATTCAGGCAGGATGCTGGAAATATTCTAAAGGAGAAAAAGTGTTCTTCCAGTTTTAAATAACATTCTCCTCCTTAACAATTTTAATAGGCATTTATGGGGAAAAATTCTGAAATTATACTAATAGCCAAGAAGTGGGACTCCCCTGTAGGGAACTAAGTCGGAAACTTTTTTAGTACTGCACACAGCTAATAAAAGCCTTACTATATCTCTTTGAACCACCCACAAATTTTCAAAAAATACAGGTTTCAAAGTGTTGAACTACCTCTAAGGTTAACAAGACTTTATAATCACCAGTGTTAACCTTATAATCTAAGAATTTGGTTGATGTTCAGGTATGTATGTTATAAAAATAAATTCAAAGTAAATAAGCTTATTGCCTTCCTCCTGCTTTTGGTGTTATTTTGAGCATTTTAGAGATTGTTCATGAACACTTACTTAATGTTTTCTATGCTCAAGGATGGTCCCAGTTCCCTAAAATCATCTCATGTGTTGTGGTAGCTAACATGTTGTGCTAAAGATGTTAGCTCCATGTGCATAAATATAGTTTATGATTTAGGTGGGGCCAACCACATAATTATTTTTCAAGTTGCAATGCATTGGAATGTGATCTGAGCTAACAGATTTCTAATAGAATTAGAATTACCCTTTCTTTTTTTTTTTTTGGTTTTTCGAGACAGGGTTTCTCTGTGTCTTTGGAGCCTGTCCTGGAACTAGCTCTTGTAGACCAGGCTGGTCTCGAACTCACAGAGATCCGCCTGCCTCTGCCTCCCAAGTGCTGGGATTAAAGGCGTGTGCCACCACCGCCCGGCAGAATTACCCTTTCTTATTTGTTGACAGTTATAACGACAAGGACGTAAAACAACTGGCCGACATATCTCTAGCCATCTTGAAAAGATCCCCATGGAGATATTTAAGAGTCCCAGTATCACAGCACTATGTCCTCACGGTTGAGAAGCCAGATTGGTTGGTTCTGCACCCTGAAGATCTTCCATTAAGCCTATCAACTACTGGGGTTTCTTACTAGGAATGCTGACTGGTACCCCGTGCAAATATCAGTCACACATGGGCGGTGGGGATGAATTTGAGGCCCCTCATTAGAGCTTCTAGGAGCAGATTGGACCATGTGATATCCATTAGCCAGGTGTGGTTCTCAGTTCTGGAAATCATTTGCAATTTCAAGTTCCATAAAAATGACTTCCATAAAAAATAGATTGTATATTTGGTGAAAGTTTGGGGAGTCTTCAAGATAAAATAGATGAGACATGATTTGATTTTTTATGTTTGAAACAAAATCATTCTTTTTTTTTTTTTTTTTTTTTAGTTTTTCGAGACAGGGTTTCTCTGTAGCTTTGGAGCGTGTCCTGGCACTAGCTCTTGTAGACCAGGCTGGCCTCGAACTCACAGAGATCCGCCTGCCTCTGCCTCCCAAGTGCTGGGATTAAAGGCGTGTGCCACCACCGCCCGGCTACAAAATCATTCTTGATCCTTCAAAGAATCAACTCTGAGTGTGATGACCAGAGAAAAAAGCTCAACTAATTATTGTGCATCTCACTTTCGCGCAGAAACTGACTGTTTTTCCCCGGTGTATAGCCAAGAAACAACTATTTTAGGCTTCATGTCTGCTCTTCGTCTCTGTATATTGTTCTCCACTCATGTATGGAAGTGTGTGTGCACGTGTGTCACAACCTTTTAAAAAGGTAAAACTCATTCTTAGCTTCTGTACAGTTCTCAGCTGTCTGTCCAGCGGCATCTTGACTGCAGTCAGGATGAAACAAGGCAAAGCCACTGCAATGGCTTGCAGGAGGGGTTTTATCAACATACACCCATAGACATTCACTAATGGTTTCCTAAAGCTGGTTTCACGTCTCAACAGCTGGCCCATTGTGAAAGAGTGGAGTGGACTCCGACGTGAAAATGGTTACTTGCCTCTAGCTGAAGAACACACACATGAACTCACACATGAACACACACATGAACTCATCAGGCTTAACTTCCTGTCTTCTAATGCCTGTCCTTCTCTGTTCATTGCTCAGTAGTCCTAAAAGGAAGGTATGTCCTGATTTGATCATCCACTCTGTCTGAAATTCCATTATTTAACATACTTAATTTGCTAACTTAGACACCTTAGCAGTTATAATAAATTAATATTTGTCAATTTTTTCTGAGCTTCATTAGATTGGCTATTCCCTGTTTTGGAACTGAATTCACAGTCCTGAAATGTTTAGTGTGCTGTGGAGTAGAAATCACTGAGCATACCTTGTAATCATTCATTCCAATACTATAAGCAACACTAAGATAATGAGAAAGGAAAAGGTGGGGCTCTGGGGCAGGGTGGGGGAAGTTAAAGAGCTAAGTCATGATTGATTGTGCTAAAAGGTTGATGTGTAACATACAGAAATGAAAACTATAACTACGGCAGGATATTATTTAGAGATTTGGAGACAAACAACAGAGGAAAAAAAATCACAGTAGGAAGAAAAACTGCTTTCCCTGAGCAAGAAGAAAGAGCACTTCCGGGGGGGGGGGTGATAAAAAGCAAGGACATCTGTTCATTTCTTAATCCTTTAGAATACCATGTCCTTACTGATTGATAACAAATAACCCAAAAGTGGTATTTTGGAAAGTAAGACAAAAATAATGCAAAACGAAAAGGTGATCAAAGTGATTTCTAAGGCCCTTTTATTTGGGGGAAAAGAGAGGTGAGACATTATTTCCTTAGATAGGGTAGTTATTTATATGTGTTAACAGTGGAAGAAAAATCACCAAATGGAAAAATGCAAGAGAGGACAGAGGGATAGAAGATGAGGATGAAGGAAGGAGAAAGAAGTAGAAGGAGGAAGAAGGGAAGAAAGGGGAGAAGAATGAGGAAAGACAAAAGAATGAGAGAAAGGGGAAAGAGGGAGAGAAAGTATATGAAAGAAAAAGAAAGAATGGAGAGAGGAAAAGAGGGGAGGAGATGGGAAGGAAAGAGAGAAAAAGGGGAAAAGGAGGAAGGAAAGTAAGAGGGAGAAGAGGAAAAGGAAGGAGGAAAGAAGAAAAAGAAACAACCAAACAAAGAAATTAATGACTCCCAAGCCATAAAAAAAATATACTAAAAACCTCAATAAATCTAAATTATAATCAGCAAAGTTAATAAAAGAGGTTAGGAAAAAGGCAAAGCAAGTTTTGAAATGGTTAAAATAAGTATACAAACATATAAATCATATGCTAGCATAATTCAGTGGGTTAAATTTACCCATTATAAGGCATAATCTACATAGGTCTTCTTAAAAAACAACATCCATCAAGGGTCCAGTTTTAAAAAAATACATGAAATTAAACAAGATAACTTTGTCAAAAAATTGTCAGGGAGGAAAAAAGCCATTGGTCAGGTAACAAAATCTTTATGCATCGAGGAACACAGACTCAAGAGGTCTGGAAACAAACACGACCAAATTACAAGGAACGTGGATTCATAATTACTGCTGCAGCGTTCCTTACGTTTCCCTCAAACCCTTTAAACCAAAGAGACAAACAATCATGGAGTCTAATAAAGTTCTTGTTTGACCACATCTGTTCTCCCACCGCCCACCATTTTCCTCTTATTCTCTAATTTATGGTCTGCTTTGCACTGGTATATGTATTTTAGATCTTCTCTGAGGATGAACTTGGACTATTGGGGCCACTATTCCATCCCAGCACTTGGGAGGCAGAGGCAGGCGGATCTCTGTGAGTTCGAGACCAGCCTGGTCTACAAGAGCTAGTTCCAGGACAGGCTCCAAAACCACAGAGAAACCCTGTCTCGAAAAACCAAAAAAAAAAAAAAAAAAAAAAAAGCAGTAGAACTTTAAAATAGCTCAGAGCAGACAGCCCTAGAAGAACACTAGCCACTGAGCTCCTGATCTGAGACTGTAAAAGTCTAACACTCTCGAATGAAGCTAAAACTTAAGGCATACTTTACCTTATGAGTTCATCTTGGAGGATCACACTGCTGAAGTTAGACATTTGTTCTTGTCTGTTCCCACCCACTCCATCCTCACTCATGCCCCTCCTGACTGGTGGTCCTGGAAGTATTTCTACCGATGGCCATGTCAGAGGAACAGCATGTGGTGGCCAATTGAGGTTCAGGATGTCGGTCCACCAGGAGGCAACCCCTTATTAGATAATTCTCTGGTAGGCAAGGCCGGCAAGACCAGACCCCAGAAAGCCTCTTGCTTCTGCTGTGGCCTTCACACAATTGCTGTTGCTATCCTTCTCTAAGATCTGGCATAGTTGAAGTGGGTGTGGGGAGATTCCCCACTGCTTGTAAGGTAATAAATGTGTTTATCTCATGGACACACCCTGTCCTACTGGGGCACTTTTACCTATGGATTATTATGAGTTTCTCCCTAAGCTGTATCATCTAATTGATAATAATGTTAGCTTACCCAGAGCTTTGATGAATAAAAACATATACAATGATACATTTCACAGTGAAGGCCTATGCCTTATGCCTAAATTCTAACTTAGATCACAGTCCAGGTTAGTGATTAAGGAGAACAATTGAACAATTGAATTAGGAGCCAGACTGGCCTTAATTCTCTTAATGCTCAAAAGATATTAACCCCTTGTACCAGTGGAGGAATATCCGCCCTCATTCTCCTAAAATAAGAAACTAGCAATAAATGGGTACACATCCTAATGATCTAAAGTAGAGCCAGCGGATTGTCTTTCCTGTACAAAGAGTTTAGGCTTGGGATTCCTTGTAAGATTAGCAGTCTAGATAGACAGCAGAATGTTTGATTCTTTCTTAGCAGCCATGGTGTGCAGTCTGCTGGGAAGAGAGTGGCTTTGAAAAGGCGCTTTTAGTCTGCTCCTGTCCTGTTAACTCGCAATAAGTTACTTAGACCTATGTGTGTATAAGGGATGTGGGGGCGACTTTGTTTTCAATCATGCAAGGGCAATGAAGACCATGTTACTTATACTCTGCAGGAACTTAGCAAAATCACTGTTTAGGATAGAGATTAGAATGAGCAGAGAATTTAGCAGGACCTTGACCTTGGAGAATCCTTGGGAAAACAGTGATTCTCTTACTGAGGGACCTCACGGCTGTACCGTGGCTTTGGTCACAAGACATCTCAGAAAATCCTGTATTATTGTGTGTTGAACACAATGCGTAATGAAGGACTAGAGTCAGGGAAGCATGTGTTGCTGCCCTTCAGTAAGACATGGAAATTAAGGCTGGGGACCTTGGTATGAGGAAACACTTTAAGCAACAATCTGTAAATATGCTTGGCTCTTCTGGTGGAAGCCAAGCCAATCAAGTCCGGCCCTGTCAGTCCATCAGAAGAGGTTGGCGAATTTAAAGGGAAAGCATCAAGGGTGTGTGTGTCTGTTCCTTAACCCCCCTCAGATAGAAAAATCTTAGCTTATGCCGACTTCCGTGGATTCCTACCAAAGCCCTGTGCTGCAGGAGGCTGGTCCCCCAGAGAGCAGTGCATTTCCTTAGCACGTCTTTCACAGGTGATTCCTCATCTTATCGTCCTTTCCTAGAGGACCCTGCTCAGGGTGATCCCTACTGAGGTTGTCTCAAAGGCATCCTCAAAGGAAAGGAACCCGGGTTCACTCACGCGCTGGTCACAATGATGCCCAACTCACAAAGGATTGCTGCCAGTTCTTACTAGACTGTGGTGTGACTATTTCTAAGACTTTCACCTGGAAAGAATGACAGGCTAGATTTACAAAGGGATGCATTCCTCGGTGTCGTCTCTTTATTTGGGAGTATTAAAGGCAATCCCTTTAATATTAGCAGACAAATCCACAGTCAATACTTCCCTTAAAGTAGTATATGTATGCACTGACTAGCCATTTGATTAGACAAAAAATAAAACTAAAGCATGGAAATGTGATGATGTGGAGAAACATGGATGAGCTTTGCTGTAAAAATAAAATTGAATCAATGTATATGCCATACAATAGGCATAAAATCATGGTAGACCAATTTAAAAATGAATTAGAAAACATTCTTTTATAAAACAGGGTGGCGTCCCACTAGAATATAGAGTGCAGAAGATTTATCTAAAACACTCTCAGAAAAATTTTACCATGTTTTATTCCAAATCCACATAGCAAAAACACAAGGCAGAAATAATACAGGAGCGATACACTTAGCCACACAGTCAAAAATCCTCTAATCTCTGAATTTAACATTGTCACACAATGTGTTCTCATTCCATTCTGCTGCTGTGACAAATACCACGGTCAAAAGTAGTTTAGAGGAGGAAACATCTTAGTTCAGCTGACTAGAAATAGTTCACCACTGAAGGAAGTCGAGGCAGGAGCTAGAAGCAGAAACCACGGGGGATTGCTGCTTGCTGGTTTGCGTAAAGCTTCATGCTTAGATAGATGGCTTTCTTATATAGTCCAGGACCACCCATTCAGGGAGTGATGCTGCCCACACCGGGTTGGGCATACTCTATCAATTAAGAATCCAGACATCCCTCATTGGCATGCCATATTCAGACGTAAACTAGGCAATTCCTCAACTGAGTTTGAGTTTGCCTTCTCAGATGACTCTAGACTGTGTCAAGTTGACAGTTAAAACTGAGACACAAGGCAATAAGCAAACAGCCAACAACTCTATACAAAACGTACTCGACCTTATCCATACTGAGAGAAACATTAATTCCACAGTTATGTACATCCTCAGTCACCCATGAATGTGGCCATAGAGATGTCCTCTTGAAGCTGGATCTATCTGCCAGACATCATGAGCGGAGCATCTATAAGACAGGGACTGAAATAAATTCTTACACGTTACATATTTTTAATGATGGCTAAAATTTACTTAGGGGAGAGAGTAAGGAGAGAAGGAAAGTTTTCCAAAGGACCACAGTTTATACACTTAAACTGAACTAGAGAAACCATGTGTGGTGGCTTACCATATCAACCAGGGACTCTAGGGGCTGATATAGAAGAACTTCACCCAGTTCAAGACTAGCTGATGTTATATAGCAAGGTTGTCCTGGGCAACAGAGAGAAAACAAATAAGCAAAAGAGTGAAAGGATTAGAAAATGCATAACTTTTTATATCAATGCAATCACTGATTCAGGTAAAAAAAAAAGTCATCATGAACATCACAGCCCACTGGGTAAAACTTAGTTGAAAAAGAATATTTATGTAATTATAAATATCTGTGCAGAGATTATCCGTAAGTTTTCAAAGAGAAAACTCAACTTTACAACAGAGAGACCTACTTATTTGTCTCAGGTAACTGAAGAAATTAGTTGACACTGATAGTTGACATAAAAATACAAAAAACAAGTAACATCTATATACAATTTTGTCAAAAATGTTGTGCCTGAATCAATGAAAGAAAGCAATAGAAGAAACTCAGAACACAAGGAAATTTTGCTAACAGACTGTATAGCATTTCAAAATACTCATTATAGAGACGCACAGAGGCGGCGCGGCGGACAAACGCAAAATACTCATTATAATGAAATACGAAAGGGGAAAGATAATCTAGATTAAAAAAACAAAGCTGGCAAAACAAAAACGAACTTCAGAAAACTTAAACTTCAAATATTAAAAATATAGGCCTGAGGAAATATTGAATAAGAATTATAAAATCAGATTATATGTGGAAAGTACTATGAGTTTTCCTACATGATCATAAAATTGCAATTTCGTAGGAAAACACTGTTTCAGATGTACAGATGTACCTATAAAATAAGTACAGCATATACAATTTACTAACAAATGCCTTTCTTAACCCAATGTGTAAGTGCAGAAGAGTCAAATGTCATACACTATTATAGTTTCTACAAAGGTTTGTAAATAGTGCTAATCATAATCCAAAAACAAAAGATTTATTGTCAAAAGTACAATGAAGTTCTAAGCAGTTTATTTAAAAACTTAAAGATCTAAGAAAATAAAAAAATAAAAAAAAACTTAAAGATCACTAACTTATAACTAAAGGTAAATTTGTGAAACATAATGTGCACTAATACTAACTAATAAGAGAAGGGTAAAAATGGCATGTATGCATGAGCATGACTGTGTATGATCTCTGCTTAGATGGGGTATTATGTAGATACTTCCTGTAAGTTGAAACATTGCCTTCTGTAAAAAAAAAAAAACTCACAAGACTCAGGAAGCTAACAAAATTTACAAGACTCAGAAAGCTCAGAAAGTTGCAAGGTTTACAAAGGCCCTCCCCAAGTCAGTAAAACGTTGCTGAGAAGAAGCAGTGTTCAAGCGGGGCCCGTCTCCCAGTCCTGCAGAGACTTCTAGGAATGGAGCTTCCATGAGTCATCAGCCTGGCTGGAGTGTCCTTTTCCTGGACAGAGCGGCTTTTGAACCATCAAGCTCCTGTGCATAACATTTTAACAATCCTATAAGTCACCCCAATAAATTCAGGGGCTCACTGATGATGGAGGAAGGTCATTGGTTAAATAAAAAGAAACTGCTTGGCCCTCATTGGTTAGACGATAGGTAGGAGGAGTAAACAGAACAGAACGCTGGGAGGAAGAGGAAGTGAGCTCAGATTCCACAGCTCTCCTCTTGGGAGCAGAGGCCTCAGAGAGACGCCATGCTCCCGGCTCCCAGGCAGAGGCATGCGATGAAGCTCTGACCCAGGATGGACATAGGCTAGAATCTTCCCAGTAAGCGCACCTAGGTGCGCTACACAGATGGTTAGAAATGGGCTAAATTAATATGTGAGAATTAGCCTAGAAGAGGCTAGATAGAAATGGGCCAAACAGTGATTAAATGAATACAGTTTGTGTGTTGTTATTTCAGGCATAAGCTAGCCAGGCAGCCGGGGTGCTGGGGACACAGCCCCGCTGCTCCTATTACTACACACTGAGTCAGGCTTGAGGGAAGCACTTCTTTGGTCTGTCATCAGCCGTATCTTGGGTGTGAGTAGGTGGTTGCCCAACATCCCAAGGAAAAGTCACACAACATGGGGATAAGAAGAGAAAGCTTTTGACTTGATACAGTATTTGTTCTATCTGATATGTAGCCATTCATAAATGGCTAAATTAATAATTATTTTTAGCAACAAGAAATAATTTTGAAGAGAGCAAAGAAAAGTGAAAAGAACAAAGGAAAAAGGGGATAGGATAAACACAAAGACAGTATAAATATAGTCAGGAGAAATCACAAGAGCAGCAGCTCCCTTTCTGAAGGCCAGCAAATCAGTCATGTGTTGGGCAGGGTAAATCAAAGCAGAAGGAGACAAAGCACAGCAAGTTTTAAACAAAAAATGCACATAATAACTAGCAACAAAGTATAGATTTGAAAGTATAATTGCTACAAATGCTACAAAACTTATTAGAAAACCAATTTAAAATAATTTTTAAACCTATCATTACTAATATGAGCCAGAATAAATAGAAAAATTGAGTGACTTTCCTTACTGGTTAGAATTAATCAATAGTTCAAAATCACATTTCACAGCAAACGAAGATTGGGAACTTTCACAGGGTCTCTACAAACACTTCAAGGATATATAATTCTTAATTTATGCAAACTGCTACTCCAATAATACACCAAAAAAGACTCCTTTTAATACAGGCATGTTTAGTTAACTATCAAAAGGTAGAAAGCTAGTAAAAGCAGGGTCAATGAGAACCCAACTTTATTTAAAATAAACACAAATGTATGCTATTCTGCTAATAATAAATAATTTTCACATTAAAGAGAAAGTCATGAAGTCTGTAGTATAAAGACATATGTGCAAAAATGTAAGGAAAGTGACTCAGGTGAAAACAAAGGAAGGATTATTCACAGATTAGTCACCAAAAGGAAACATAAAAACCACCTTCAGGTATAAACCACTAGGCCACATTTCTCAATAATAAATGTTGCCTGAAAGAACAGCGTGAAAATCAAACGGATGGACCTACCTGAAGCACGGAGAAAGGAACAAGCACAGTCAAGATGCCCCTCAGCTCTGTCAGCCACAACCTTCAGGTTCTCCTGTCAGAGACTCTAACCCATGGAGATGAGTAAGGTCCGTGGGAATTCTTTTAATATACCATGCTCTTACCAGATCTAACCTGACAAAAAGAATGTTGAAGCAATCTGTGTACAAGCTAGGTCTGGGCATACGCCAGCCAGCCAGCGACTGCCCTTCCACGGGCTTATCTCATCCACCCCAGACTCCTGATTACAAGGTGCAGTACTCTAGTCCTAGACACCAACAAAACAGCTCATCTTCTCTCTTCAGCCCTCTCCTGGCTAACATACTCCGACTGAAGACGGAACAGAGAAAAAGGGAGGTGTGGGAAGTTCCAAACATATGTAACATGTCACACGCAAGACAAGACCATATGGTATTAACTAAGACATATCCATCAGAAAATATTTCAGGGGAGAAATATTGAGATCATGTTCTCTGATTACACCACCACCAGAAAACTAGAAGGAAGAAAATTAGAGTCCCCATTCAATCTCAGGTCAAAAATACATGGTGATTGATTTAATAATTCTTAGAGGCGAAGGAAAAGTAACAATATTACATCTCAATTTGTGAGCACTAGTTACGGGCATTTTACAAAACAAGAAAAACTAGTAAGGAAGGAAGGAAGAAAGGAATAAACTTCCAATGTAAAAACTTAGAAACAATGAGTGCGGTGATTGGAGTCAGTTAAGAAAGTGAAATGAAAAACGAAAACAAAATATAGAAGCTCAATAAATTCTAACTCTTTTAAAAATGACAAAATAAAAGTAAACTTAAGCTATATTAGTATTACTGAAGAGACATATATTATCAATAATAAAGGAAACTTCATACTAATGTGATTAAATCAAGGGGTTGGGTAGATGACTCAGCAAATAAAGAGGCTTACACCAAGTCAGATGACCTGAGACTACTTGCTGGAAGGAGAGAACCAACTCCCAAATAGTCCTCTGTCTTCTGCACGTGGAGCATGGAAGGTACGTACCTGCAAGGTCTCTCTCTCTCTCTTTCTTACTCTCTCTCTCTTACACATACACACACACTAATAAAAATAATTAAATGTTATTAAAGTATTTAAAAAATAACAAGGAAATGCTGCTCGACCCAATCTTTTAATTTTTTGAAGCAGGCATGGGCAGCCCGTATATGGCAGTACTGTTGAACTTGTCCATATTGGGTTTCATGGTCTAAGCTGATGAGGGCGACTGACTCTTCCTCAAGAGGGCACCGGATCTCATTACAGATGGTTGTGAATCACCATGTGGTTGCTGGGAATTGAACTTAGGACCTTTGGAAGAACAGGCAGTGCTTTTAATCACTGAGAGAAGAGATAAATGTACCAACTGTTCAAATGTCACCAAATAAAACAGACTTATGAAGATGTCAAATGTTAAGATTAACCAGCTTTTCATTTTCCTTAATAAATGTAAAATTAACACAAGATCAAAAAGCTTCATAGCAGAGGTTTTTGTTGTTGTTGTTGTTGTTTGTTTGTTTGTTTGTTTTGGGTTTCGAGACCAAGTTTCTCTGTGTAGCAGCTTTGTAGCCTGTCCTGGAACGTAGCAGAGTTTTATAATGGTTCTTAAAGATCAGTATAATGACAATCTGCATACTCTACACTCTTAGTTGTAACTTCAATAAGAGAATGTCTTACAGGAAGGGATGCTTGCAGGAATGATCAAAAATGAATAGATCACAAACAACCCAAATCCCTCCCAACTGGAGGATGTGAATTGATTGTGCTTTATTCACACAGTGGAGGTGAAAACACAAACTACAGCTTCATAGAACACCATGACAAGTCTTACCATAATGTTGAGTGAAGTGCAACCACTATTCACTATGAAACGCTCTTCACCCAGCTGGTAAAATCAAGGTATTCAGAGAGACACATGAATAATTCCTAAAAAGAAAGGAAAATTACAGGGGACAGGGTACAAAAAGAGAGGACAAGTGGGTGTCAGTGACATTGTTTACAAATAGGAAAATAAATATATGGCTACCCATCTTGGACTAATCTTCCTTTTGCAATAAACCTAGAGATAGAATCCTCTGTGTCAGAGATTCTAGAAAAAAATAAAAGTGACTGCACTGTGTTGGTATTAGATACTTTTCTCATTGCCCTGGCAAAATTTCTGACAAAGGCAAGTTAGTAGGTAAGAGTTTGTATTGACCCAGCTTAAGGCAATGCAGTGTGTTATAATGGAGAAGGCAGGGCGGTGGAATGTGCGGTAAAGGGTCACAGTGCATCTATACTCAACTGGTGCTCTGCTCACTTCCTCTGTTCTTTCTATTTCATTTTTCTAGAATCCAGATCCATGGAGTCATGCTTCTGACATTAAAATTGGGACTTCCACCTAGGTTAAATCTCTTTATAAACAATATTCCTGACATGCTCAAATCCAATCAAGTTGGCAAACAAGATAAATCATGAAGTGTATCTTTTGGTTCCATAATTACTGAATTTTTTTTCAGTGCTAGACACAGACTTTAGGGTCTCACACATGCTACGCAAATACTTTAGCACCAAGCCACCACCCTAAACTCTAGCAACAAGTTTTAACCAGATATTTTACACAAGAAAAAGAAAAAAGCTAGGCTTTTCTTTTTTTTAATATTTATTTATTTATTATTTATTATACAATATTATGTCAGTGTATATGCCTGCAGGCCAGAAGAGGGCACCATACCCCATTAGAGATGGTTGTGAGCCACCATGTGGTTGCTGGGAATTGAACTCAGGACCTTTGGAAGAGCAGACAATGCTCTTAACCTCTGAGCCATCTCTCCAGCCCTTTCTTCTCACATGTTGACAAATGTTTAAGATGGATGATGTCCATGTATTTGTAAGAATATGGAGGAAAAAAAAATTTGAACATTGACCTAAGAGAATAAATTTAATACAAAGATTTTAGGAAGCCGTTTAGAAATATCCAGTAAAACTAAAGTTGTATATGTACTATAAATTAGAAATGTCATCAGAAAAGACCATTTAAAAGTTCTATATAGTTGTTCAGGGCACAAAAATCCTTGTAACAGCAAAAATAGGGAAACACCATAAAAGATTTGATGCACTATGATTTGCCCCTACTACCGAAGCCTATAAACTAAATTCACATGTGTTAATATCCCAAAAGAATCATGTCAAATAGAAAAGGCAAGTTACACTTGGCATGGCCCCATTTCTGTTAAAGGCAAAAGCACACAACTTTGCATGTTGTTTATGAATCCATAGTAAAAGGAAAAGGATTTTCATGAGGATTCATCAGCTCCCAAAGGATGCTTATCTTTGAGGGGGGACAAGACAAGAAGGTGACAGGAAAAGGTTTTGCAGTGATCTGTGTTTTTTTATTTCTTACAAGTGAAACGTACGTTTCACGTTGAAGGAAACGTGCACACTCACTGCTGTCAGTTAAAGCCACATCCTGTGTTGGCTACATTATCTGTAAATGTTTTTGTCTATGGTTTTTGATTACATCATCCTTAAACCTGAATTGGATGGGATTGTATGACAGTCTAGTGTGACATCTGCAACTCTGCTAACGTCCCAGCAAGTGTGTCTCCCTTCCCGGAAGGACCGTGCACACCAGCAGAGCAACCACTGGAATCCATGGAATGGCTCATGTGTCCAGTCTTGCCTGAAAATACCACCCTCACCTAAGCCTAAATTCCAAACTCTCAAGAGGAAAGGAGCTTGGAGGAAAACAGGCCCTTGGGGAAGCAAAGAATGGGCTCTTTTTTTGTAGTGGATTATTAAGATTATATTAAGCAAACCCAAACCATCCACAAGCAAGCATTTCAGAATCCCTTCAGCACATAAGGATGCTTCCTTAACATCTTGAAAGGCGAGTGCTATCATTTTAAAAGGTGTGTATACTCCACAAAAACATAAAAGAGTGATAAAGAAAACTATGAAGAGGAGTACGGATGAGAGCAGTGTGGATATTTGAATACCATAACTCCTGTGGTGTTCCTGTCTCACAGCTTCAGAAAGCTAAGGAAATGCGGGTCTTGATTTCCATCAAAACACTGAGTCATCCCACTGTAATCACAAGCAAGTCTCAACCGGGACCTGCAGTGCTTGTTCGTAGGCAGCAGGAAATCGTACAATCTCTGGAAGGGGCCCGCCCTGCATTGCTGTGAGCAGCAAATAGACGGTGTGACTAATGGGGTCATTTGTCAGGGCCTGGTGCTGCATACTTCCTGCAGGCAAGATGCTTTCCCAGGGAGTTAACTGGAGAGAATGGCTGCAAATAAAAGCATTACTGGAAGGGGAAGGATTGGGGATTGCAGTCTCTTAACACAGATTCCTACCTATTATCTATGAAATGGCACAAAACAACTCACATTCATTGTGAGCTACACGCAGACAACAACAACAACAACAAAAAAAAATCCCAACATGAAACTTAGGACTGGAATTCGCTAAAAGTGCTTAGTCATGTGGCAGGTGTTTTAAAGAAATACAAATCAATTCTTAAGCCTACAAAAAAAAAACTATCCATTTGTTTCTCTAACCTTGGATTATTTTAAATCTGCTTGTGTTAATAATTAATGGATGAATTAATTTGACTAAACAAAGTTTTGTCCAGCTTGAACATTCTTTGCATGGTATATAAAGTCCTAAGTACCCTTAGAGGGAGCACTCACTGTGGAAGAGCAGGATGAATCCGAGCACCTCTTCAGTCTGTGCTCCTCCCCTAAGCACCTGCCCGACTATTTTTTCCTTTGGCAAACATCTGATGCCTATTCAGGAATTATAACAGGCGGGATAAACAGTGGTGCCTAATAATGAGTCTGTGTCATATACCTGACACTACATGAGAACTTCACAGTTCCTATCTTCATGAACTTCGTATGTATTAGGAAAGACTCAAATGATAAATTTATTATAATTGTAAAGAAAACCTACTGGACTTGTAACAGCAGACTGAACGGCAGCACCACTGACCCTAATACTGGACAGGAACACAGTTTCCACAG